AGGAGACCTCTTCTTTCATAGATACTTCCATGAGTATGAGCCATTGCAAAGGCATACCGGCTATCAGTATAAATGTTAGCTTTCTTTCCCTTGGACAGCTCTAGGGCCTTGGTTAGTGCTATTAACTCAGCCTTCTGTGTAGACGTGCCAGGAGGTAGTGATTGTGCTTAAATGGTGTTGTGGCCATTTACTACCGCCGCTCCCGCCCTCCGGGTACCTGAGTCAAGGTAATTGCTGCCGTCTGTGTACCAGGTGTGATCCGCGTCTGGGAGTTCTTGGTCTTTAAGGTCTTCCTGTGTTCCATGGGTCTCAGCCAGTACTTGCCGACAATCGTGTGGGCTTGGTTGGTCTTCTGGTACCGGCAGCAGCGTAGCAGGGTTTAGGGTGACCGGAGGGCCAAACTGGACGCGGTCCGTGTCCAGTAGGAGGGCCTGGTAGTGGGTTAGGCGTGCGTTGGTTATCCACCGGTCCGGGGGCTGCCGCACTATGGCCTCTAGAGCATGTGGGGTAATAATAGTTAGTGGCTGCCCAAGGGTTAACTTAGCAGAGTCCTTGACCAGCATAGCGGTGGCTGCCATGATGCGAAGACACGGGGGCCAGCCGGCCGCCTCCACTTCTCTCCCTCTCTCCCTGGTCCTTTTTCTCTCACAACTGCCGCCAGGATTTTTGTTAAATGCTTATTCTTCACTCGGTCCTTACGATCCTCTTGCTCCATCTGTTCCTTCGCTAACCTGGCTTCCCTTTCCTCAGGGGTTTCTCTCTTATTATACACTTTTTCTGCCTCCTTAACCAATTCCTGTAATCCATAGGTTTGGATTCCATCTAGTCTTTGGAGTTTTCCTTTGATATCTAATGCAGCTTGGTCTATGAATGCCATAGCTACGGTAGCCTTATGTTCTAGGGCCTCTGGGTCTAATGGGGTATACATTTGGAACCCTTCCAGAAGCCTTTCCATGAAGGCTGCCGGGCTTTCATCCCTTTCCTGAGTTATGGTCCTTACCTTGGCCAAATTTGTGGGGCGCTTTCCTGCCTTTTTGAGACCCGCCAACAGAGCCTGGCGATAGATTTGGAGACTCTCCTTACCTGGTGCCGTTTCATAGTCCCAGTCTGGGCGGGTGAGGGGAAATCCCTCGTCTATTTTATTGGGAAGTTGGGTTGGGAGGCCTCCTGGTCCTGGCACATTTTTCCGGGCCTCCAGGAGGACTTGCTGCCTTTCTTCAGTGGTTAGGAGGACCTGCAAGAGTTGCTGGCAATCATCCCAAGTGGGCTGGTGAGTGAGGAGAATGGATTTTATTAACGAGGTTAGGGCCTGGGGGTCTTGGGAAAAGGAAGGGTTATGGGTTTTCTAGTTGTAGAGGTCAGAGGCAGAGAAGGGCCAGTACTGGACCGTGCGATTGACGGTACGGAGGGGAAAAAGGGAGGATTGCCAAGTGGAAGGGCCATCTGGGTCCTCAGTCCGCCGCAAGCGGAGACGAGGAGGTGTCGGTGGCGGCATCCGAGGGGTGAGTTTGGGCGGGGCTGGAGAAGGAGACGGGGTGGAGGGAGGGGCCGAGGGAGAAGTTGGAGAAAGGGTAGGGGCCGAGGCGGTAGAGGAAAGAGCTGGGGACAAGACAGGGGACAAGGGTGAAGCATAAGGTGGAGGTCTCAGAAGGGGGTTTTGAGGTGGAGGAGGCAGGGGGTCAAGAAGGAGGAGATCCCTCTGGGGTTCATCTGGGAGGACTGGCTTATGCGGGTCCGGTTTCCGATTTTTTTGGGGCTTCTAAGGCAAGAAGGGTAGACTGGGGTGGGGAAGGGGAATGGAGGAAGGGTTTCACCCAAGAGGGAGGGTTTCGGACCAGATCCTCCCAAGTAATTATGTAGGCCACCTGGTCTGGGTGTTCGTGTGGCCCAGGATCTATCACTGTTGCTTTAACCTGTAAGATAATTGGGAGGTCAAATGTTCCGTCCCGGGGCCACCCAACATGGAGGGTAGGCCACTCGGACGAGCAGAATTTTCGCCATCGTCCCTTACGGACTTCTATGGAGAGGTTGTGGGCTCGAGCCCGAGCGTCAGGGAAGTGAGTCAGGGTCAGAGACAAAGGAGTCGTCAACGTCTGTCTTATTTTGTCCACGTATAACAAGGACAAAACGAAAATAACAAAAACAAAGACCAGACAAGTAAGGAGAAGCCGCGCAGCCAGAGAGTGGCGCCACAAGATCATAAAATACTCAGACGGCAGGGGCGACCTGCCTACAGATTTAAGGAGGCTGACTGAGTCGTCAGCCTTCTCCTAGACTACCGCCAGGGTATCCCCCGGGGCGTAAGTGGGACACGTCTGTCCCCCTTCCCCACTTAATTCAGAAGGAGTACTCCCTAGAGTTCAGAGTTAGCCGGCAAGACAGACAGAACAAAACGAAAGTACCTGGTAGGTCCGTTCAGTCAGCAGTCCGTGGCCCGGGCCAGATGGGTCTCCGCCGGATGGGTCGGGGGTCCTCGGACGACCCCACTTCCCGGCCAACGCACCAAATGTTGGAACCGAACTGTCAATTCCCTCCTGGGCAGGGGTCACCGCGAAGGATCACCGACACGAGATTCACAGCAGAGAGTTATTTATTACTAGCGCGCTAGGGTCCCAAGCTCTAAGTTGGCCTTGGGACCCCGACTGCTTGTTACAGGCTGTTTATATAGGCAAACACAAGTTTAAACACAGCTTAGGGTGCGAAATTCAAACAAAGCTTTAGGCGCGTGGTAATTGGGTCTGTCTATGGCCTGAGCAAGGTGTCTTGTTCTAATTGGTTAGAGCAGGACCTTATGAGTTTTTTTTCCTGGAGTTGTTAATTCCGGGAACTTTGAGGCAGGGTGGGACCCCCGGAATTGGCAGGGTGGAACCCCATGAAGTTGTTTCCCGGAATTAGCAGGGTGGAACCCTATCAGGGTAAAACCCTATCAGGGTAGAACCTTATCCAAAGCCACCTGGTGTTAATTTTTTAAAGTTCTTTTTTATAAGGCCTAGTTTCTAAGTTTTATGCGGCCTAGTTTTAATAGTCTGTTGTTGCCATCTTAAGATTCTTAGCAATTTTTTAACACGGGGCCCCACAAATTGGGTAGTTGGTCCTGCTGCCAGGGAAAGATACCCTCTTTTTATCCAGGCCCCTTGCTCGGAGTCTCAGGACCTTTCTGAGGAATTCCAGTAAAAGTGGACATACATTAGTAACTACATTTATTATTTCTAGTAATATTCATGTATATCCCACACGATTTTCCATGCACACACTTATATTTTCTCTAAATAAAAATGGCTTACTTCATCCTTGTAATATTTATTTTTTCTTTTTCTTTCTTTTTTTTTTTTTTGAGACAGAGTCTCACTCTGTCGCCCAGGCTGGAGTGCGATCTCAGCTCTGCAACCTCTGCCTCCCAGGTTCAAGCAATTCTTCTGCCTCAGCCTCCCGAGTAGCTGGGACTACAGGTGCACACCACCATGCTTGGCTAATTTTTGTATTTTATGGTGGAGACGTGGTTTCACCACGTTGCCCAAGCTGGTCTTGAACTCCTGACCTCAAGTGATTCACCCACCTTGGCCTCCCAGAGTGCTGGGATTACAGGCGTGAGCCACTGTGCCTGGCCCTTATCTGAGGAATTTAGAAAGGAGCAAAGACCACCTGGTGACCATCCAACAGGCCATCCAGAGGCAAAACTCCTCATCTGGGGAAATTAGAATTAAACTTCCCTAGTATCTAAAGTGGGGATCTGGTTCCACGCCTCTTTCAACTTTTATAAGTAACTAAAATTTCTAGGCATCTCTGTAATGCCATGCTGAAACTCATTTTACAACCCTAAGCTCCGGCCTGAAGGTCCATAAATGCACCTAAGGAAGATCCACCAAGGCCCTCAATCCTCTCGCGGGGGTGCCCTGCTGCACTCTTCTGCAGCCTTCTAAGAAATTTTCCTTTTTCAAACCTATACTGTTGTCATTAAATTCCTTTTGCCAACCTGTGAGGCGACCACTTCCCGGTGCTGGAGCTCAGACACCTCACTAGGCATTTTGTGTTCCAGTGTTCTGCTTTTCATCTTTGGCAATTAAGCGCGTGCACACACACGCGCGCACGCGCGCAACTGTCCCAAAGAAGAGAGTCACCTGATTCTAGTTATTGCAAGGGCTGTGTAAGCTCACACACACACACACACACGCAGCTGTCCCAAAGAAGAGAATCACCTGATTCTAGTTATTCCAAGGGTTATGTGAGAAGTTAGTCTATCTCTAGAGAAGCCCTGCTGCTGGGCACTGGAGCTCAGAAATTTATCTCAAAGAATTAGGATTCATAAGGAGCTCTCTGTTTTGGAAAGAGGATACATTGTTTAGGACAGTTTCCATTTTCAATTGTGTAGCATGAAACAGAAAAATTTAATAAATGGGCCAGTCAAGTATCTGGAATCCTTTGGATAAATTAATTTATTCAATTAATCCATACTGAGCTCTGGCTGGGCTCTGGACAAAATGGGAAGCAAAATTACTTTACAACCATACAATAGAATATTATGTAGCCATTCAAAATGATTGTATCGATATTTATTGACCTGGAATATGTTCATAGTATGGGTAAAGTTATAAACAATATATTATGAATCCATTAAAAATGTATTTCAGGGACTGGCTGGGTGTGGTGGCTCACGCCTGTAATCCCAGCACTTCGGGAGGCTGAGGCAGGCAGATCACCTGAGGTCAGGAGTTCAAGACCAGCCAGGCCAACATGATAAAACCTCATCTGTACTAAAAATATAAAAATTAGCTGGGCTTGGTAGCGGGCACCAATAGAAGGCTGAGGCAGGACAATCACTTGAACCTACGAGGTGGAAGTTACAGTGAGCTGACAGCATGCCACTGCACTCCAGCCTGGGTGACAGAGCAGAAAAAATAAATACATAAATAAATAAATGAAAAAATCAGAAAGGTTCTACATCAAAATGGTAAATTTTATGTTATATATATTTCACTATAATAACAGACTGTAACGGTGGCTATCTCTGGATCCTACGTTTTTATTATTTGTATTTTTTAGTTTTTTTGCAATGAATATGTGACAAGCAAAATGACTACAAATAAAAGGAAATATAAAAAATTAAGTCTGATGCTCTTTTAAAGGCCATCTGATTCACTCCTGACTGCAGCTTTCTCTCCATCCACCCATCCAGATCTGGAGCCGGCTTTCTGGGTCACTTTTTAAAGTCCATCTCTTCTTTTTTTTTTTGAGACGGAGTCTTGCTCTGTTGCCCAGTGCAGTGGTATGATCTCGGCTTACTACAACCTCCGCCTCCTGGGTTCAAGCAATTCTCCTGCCTCAGCCTCCCAAGGAGCTGGGATTACAGGTGCCCACCACTGTGCCCAGCAAATTTTTGTATTTTTATTAGAGACAGGGTTTCACCATTTTGGCCAGGCTGGTTTCGAACTCCCGACCTTGTGATCCACCCGCCTCGGCCCCCCAAAGTGCCACCACACCTGGCCTAAAGTCCATCCTTTAAGGCAACCATGCTGTTGGGCTGGAAGCCAGGAGAGCCCCACTATAATAGGGCAGGGAGCCAGGCTAGGAATTGGAAACAGTAAGAATGTGAAACAGGATGAGCATTTGAAGACCCTCTTAAAAACGAAAAAAAAAAAAAAAAAAAAAGACTGCATTCCAAAAATAATGCAGAAAGGCAAGTCTTGGGAGGAAGGTTTGGTCTTAACGGTGAAATCTGGAAAAGGTATAGGAAGTACAATACTTGAAAGATACCCTGAAAAGATTTCTTTTGGCCGGCAACATTCAGTAGATTACGGCTGTTTCTGTGGTTATTTTTGTAGATTAACATGGACCAAAATACGGCATCATCTTACTGGGTGCGTTCACTTCCCGACAGTTCCAGAACATGGCACTCGATCTGTCCTTGTTGCCTTCTAAACTATTCGAAGCAGACTCTGTATCAGCCTTTCTAGCTTCTGAAATAAAGGCACAGGAATTACAGGGAAGCAGAGTGAGTGATCTGGGGCGTGGAGGGTTTTTCTTCCATTGCTGTGCAGTTTGGAAAGTTGCCATCTATTCAGGTTTCACTCAAACCGGCTTTTTCCAGACCCCAGAACAAATTGTAGCCAGAAGCTCTGCTCTTTGTCAGGAGGCAATTATACCCCAGACTTAGCCAGGAACTTGCCCTCTTCCCTTAGAGAACAACTTCTCTTTATGTATAAGGATCCTGGCTCTCCTTTTACCCAGGGGGTTGGGATACAGCCTCTAAGTTCTTTCTAGAAAGACCCCAGCTGTCCCAGGGTTTCCATTTTTTTACCATTGCACAGGTCTCTGGATATCACACCTTCCTAATAGCGACTGAAATGTCTCATAGCCTTTCCTTGTTTTTGTTTCTCTTTAGCTAAAGAAAGCAAAAATAAATAATCCCCATCTCCACTGTTGGAAACCCCAGGCTTTTTAACCTTTGGAGGAGCTTCACACAATATAGAGATCTGTGAAGCTACATAGGTTGGCACTGAGTTTAACCCTTTGCCCATAAAGTTAAGGTTAGGAAGCTTGGTTCCTATTTTCTGTTCAAATACTGTTTTCCTTTGTTAGAGATAAACTTCTTTTAAGGCAAAGAATCACTTATATGATAGAACCTTTAGAATAATCCTGTTGACTACAAACAGGATAGTGCAACTCTTCCATATTTTGAATGTGGTGGTGATTGCATGACTGTGTTATGGGTGTTAGAACATAAAACTAGCCACTAAAAAGGCTAATTTTTGGAGGGAGACCGTCTGTTCTGTCGCCCAGGCTGGAATGCAGTGGCACGATTTCGGCTCACTGCAGCCTCTCCCTTTCTCAATTCTCGTGCCTCAGCCGCGCCATCATGCCCGGCTAATTTTTTGTATTTTAGAAGAGATGGGGTTTTGTCATGTTGGCCAGGCTGGTCTCAAACTCCTGAGCTCAAGCGATCATCCTGCCTCGGCCTCCCAAAGAGGTGGGTTGGAAAGGCGTGAGCCACCGCGCCCGGCCCAAGGCGGCTGATTTTTACTGTACCTAAAGTCTACCTCGATTAAGAACACCAGGCCGGGTGCGGGTGGCGGGCGGACTGCCTGAGGTCAGGAGTTCGAGACCAGCCTGGCCAACATGGTGAAACCCCGTCTCTTCTAAAAATACAAAATTAGCAGGCGTGGTGGCGCGCGCCTGTAATCCCAGTTGCACGGGAGGCTGAGGCAGGAGAATCCCTTGAACCCGGGAGGCGGAGGTTGTGGTGAGCCGAGATAGCGCAACTGAGCGACAAAGCGAGAGATTCCATCTCAAAAAAAAAAAAAAAAAAAGAGGTCGAAGCTGTCTAAGCGGGCGCTGCGGTGGACTAGCGGTCAAGCCTGCCCGCGAGCGGCTCACCTGATTCGCCCCCAAAACCGGCCTCCAGCGGCGTACTCGACCCTGCAGTACCCCCTCCCACGCGGCTTGTGGTCGGGAAGCCTGCAGGAGGCGCCAGAGCCTTCGCAGGGGTTGCAGTCTAGCGCAAGGGCCCTCAGCTCCCAAGGCACCCGCAACCTTCCGACCCCCGGAGAAGGCCCCGCGCGTCTGAGCCCCTCCCTGCCAGCGGCCAGCCCTGCCACTACACTCAGCCGCGGCCGCGCTGACGTCACCACCCCCACTCCCGGCCTCGCGAGGCCGTTCCCGCCCCGCCCCCTTTCCCGGCGTGCGCCGCGGCTAAGGCTCCTCGCCCTCAGCTTCTGCCTGTCGCCCCAAAATGGCGGACACAATGAGCCGGCGACGCGCCGGTTGTCCGTGAGGTGGCTGTGAAGACGAACAGACGGCGAGGCTCCGCAGTTCAGGCAGAAGACCCTCGTCCAAGCAGGAGGAAGAGGAGGAGGCGGCCCAACTGTTGGCCGACTTCCCTCTAGCCGCCGGCGCGGCGCCCGCCCCGCCTGGGTTGGCCCCTCGGCAGCCCGCCCGTTCGCCGCCGGGCCCCGCCCCGGTCCTGCGCCGCCGCTGCCTTCCTCAGCCGCCGCCATGAAGCTGACCGATAGCGTGCTGCGGAGCTTCCGCGTCGCTAAGGTGTTCCGCGAAAACTCGGACAAGATTAACTGCTTCGATTTCAGCCCCAACGGCGAGACGGTCATCTCGAGTAGCGACGACGACTCCATCGTGCTCTATGACTGCCAGGAGGGCAAGTGAGTGCGGCGGAGGCCCTGGGCCCAAGTCTCAGTGCCTCCCTCCCTCCGGTGGCCCAGCACTGGTCCCTCGGCCCGCCCTCCGTCCCAACTTCAGCCCCCGGCCTATTTTGCACGCGTTCCTGCCAGGGCCGCCTCCACCCCGCAGCAGTCCAGGAGACCTTTTATTTTTTCTTATTAAAAAAAATTACGATAGTCATAATTTTATAATAGCATTCTTATTTGTATGTTTTCGGTCTCCTTTGAGCGCTATGCATCGCTTGCCAAACCCCACCTTGACCTTGACCTTTAAACGCCCGGTCCGCCCACCGTGGGCCCAGCAGGTAGCGTTTTCAGCTTCTCAGGCTGTCAGAGGTGCTGGTCTGCTCCGGCCTCGACGCAGGACTGCAGGGGCTGCTCTCCTGCCTCCTTCGGCAGCGTCAGCTCGCTCTTCTGCCCTCTCCGCTGTGACCTCGATTCTGCCCTGGCACTCCGCCCATCCCCTGCCCCTCAGCTTCCCGCGGCCTTTCTGCCGTCAGACAGCGTGGGTTGCAGTTCTTAGCTGTCAGGATTTATTTGTTGTGCCTCTTTGAGCCCCCTTGCTTTTTCTTCGTGCTCGTAGCCTTTCTCTTATTCTTTCAAACTCGGTGCCCACGTTCATAAGTGAACTTTTCAGCAACATCTAAAACTTCTTTTTGCCACACACAAACGAACTTGGTCTTCCCATCCTGACCTGAATGTGAGCTTCCGTTAAAACAAAGCAAGCATCGTAGAACAATTTCAGGTTTCCTTTCATACTTTTTTTTTCTATTACACTTTTTGGTCCACTTTGAATTCCAGTTCTGATCATGAAACTTTTATGTTGCCACAAGTCATCTGGAGACCCACCATACCTGCATCTTTTCGCAAAATCTAAGCACAGCACTTTGACTTTTCCCCTGGGGGTCCTTGTCAGCCCCCTCACCGCACGCCTGTGGACTTGCAGCTCCTTGGAGCCAAAACTAGTTTAGATTAAATTTGTTTTACCCTTAGCCACCTTCCCCAAGAAGGCTTGCTGATGTTTGGTTTAATTCGGTGACCTCTGGTTTTGTCAGACTTGATTTTGTTACCTAGTAACAGATACTATTATTATTATTGTGAGGTCTTGGGTTTTTTCCTACCTTCTCCAGCTGTTCCTTTTGCCTTTTTTTTTTTTTTTTTTTTAAACTGGTGTCTTTCTTTTGGAACGTATCTCTTCATTTGTGAATTTGATTATCTGAAATAATGCTAGTTTGGACTGAGCTATAATGGTATCCCCCCTAATTTTTTTCCCACTGGGACTGTGAGAAATTATTACGTAACCGGCTCTGGATCTGCCTGCAGTATGTGGCAGAGTGGTCTGCAGTGGTGGTCTTAAGGAAGAGGGAATTGTTAGCTGAACAAATACTTAGTTATTTGAGTCAGTGTTACTCCTTGAGTAGATAGATTTCTGTCCTGGTCTGGTCACTTGAATCAGTTTAGAAGAGGAACTAACACTTAAAGGTGTGGTAGTAGGGTGGGCATTGTGGGGTCCTGGAGGAGTAATTTGAAGCTGGCTTGCATGAAATGTTTAGTGCTTTTGCACAGATTAGAACCTCTTCCCAGAACCTCAGGATGGAGATATATATCCTCATTTAAAGAAAATGAAGGTTATGATAGCCTTTCTTTGCAGTTTGTCCCCAAATTTGGCATAATTTTGATTTGGGAAGGATGACCTTGACGTGAAGTCCTGTCTTTTTTTTTTTTCCTTGTGTCTTTGGGACAGAGTCTCCCTCTGTTGCCCAGGCTGGAGTGCAATGGCATGATCTTGGATCACTGCAACCTCTGCCTCCCGGGTTAAAGCGATTCTCCTGCCTCAGCTTCACAAGTAGCTGGGATTACAGGCGCCTGCCACCATGCCCTGCTAATTTTTGTATTTTTAGTAGAGACGGGTTTCACCATGTTGACCAGGCAGGTCTTGAACTCCTGACCTCAAGTGATCCACCCGCCTCGGCCTCCCAGAGTGCTAGGATTACAGGCATGACGTGCTGCGCCTGGCCAAATCCTGTCTTGTTAAAAGTAAAATGCTAGTTTTGTGACATAAGGCAGTTTATTCACTCACATAGCATTTTTTACATAACTGCAAATGAACAGAAAGTTACAACAATGTTTCAGATAACTCCCATATGATTCAGTAACTGGTTACATTTTCTGCATTTGCTTCACTGTAGGTAAATATTTATATGTACTGTGTGCCTCCCCCCACCCTTAGAGTTGGAGGTATCAAGCCCTTTTATCTCTAAACACTTCAACATGGACTTTCTTTCATCTTTCTTTTTCTTTCCTTTTTTTTTTTTTTTTTTTTGAGATAGAGTCTCGCTTGGCCGCCCAGGCTGGAGTGCAGTGGCGTGATCTTGGCTCACTGCAACCTCCAGCTCCTGGGTTCAAGCGATTCTCCTGCTTCAGCCTCCTGAGTAGCTGGGATTACAGGTGTGCGTCACCAAGCCCGGCTAATTTTTGTGTTTTTAGTAGAGACAGGGTTTCACCATGTTGGTCAGGCTGGTCTCGAACTCCTGACCTCATGATCTGCCCTCCTCGGCCTCCCAAAGTGCTGGGATTACAGGTGTGAGCCACCACACCTGGCTCAACATGGATTTTCTAAGCACAAAGACATTCTTACATAACCAGAGATCCAAATTAGGAAATTTAGTGTTGATACAATACTACAGGGCATGCTCTTTTGAGTTTTCTTTGATCAATTAATTGTGACCTTGTTTTGTTATCTGTGGTGAAGGAGTGGCCTGGTAGGTAGGAGAGAACTGCGTTCTAATTTGGCCTGTGACTAGGTATGTGACATTGGTCAAATTCTCTGGATATTAAACAACCTCTTTAGTTTCCATTCTAGGCAATAATATGACAAAAAATTTTGTTGCTAGTATAGGTCAAACCAACCTCAGAAGAAAAGAAGTATTTCCTTGGAAGACATGGTATTGTATCTTTTTTTTTTTTTTTTTTTTGATACGGAGTTTCTCTCTTGTTGCCCAGGCTGGAGTGCAATGGCGTGATCTCAGCTCACTGCAACCTCTGCCTCCCGGGTTCAAGCGATTCTCCTGCCTCAGCCTCCTGAGTAGCTGGGATTACAGGCATGCACCACCATGCCTGGCTAATTTTGTATTTTTAGTGAATACGGAGTTTCTCCATGTTGGTCAGGCTGATCTCAAACGCCCAACCTCAGGTGATGCACCGCCTCAGCCTCCCAAAGTGCTGGGATTACAGGCATGAGCCACTGTGCCTGCCCAGCCTTTATTTTATTCTTTTTTTTTTTTTTTTTTTTTTGAGATAGCCTCACTCTTTCCTAGGCTGGAGTGCAGTGGTGTGATCTTGGCTCACTGCTGCAACCTCTGGCTCCTGGGTTCAAGCACTTCTTGTGCCTCAGCCTCCCGAGTAGCTGGGATTACAGGCGCCCATCACTATGCCCAGCTAATTTTTGTATTTTTAGTAGAGATGAGGTTTCGCAATGTTGGCCATGTTGGTCTCAACGCCTTACCTCAATTGGTCCACCCACCTCGGCCTCCCAAAGTGCTGTGATTACAGGCGTGAGCCACTGCACCTGGCCCTTTTTATTTTATTTTTTTTAAAGACAAAGGTCTTCCCCTGTTGCCCAGGCTGGAGTGCAATAGCATGCTTATAGCTCACTAAAGCCTTCATCTTCCGGGCTCAAGCGATCCTCCCACCTCAGTCTCCAAAGTAGTTGGGCCTACAAGCACTTGCCAGCTTACTTGGTTATTTTTATTTTAGTGGAGACAAGGTCTCACCAGGTTGCCCAGGCTGGTCTCAAACTCCTGAGCTCAAGGATCCTCTCACCTAGGCCTCCCAAAGTGCTGGGATTACAGGTGTTAGCTACTGTGACTGGCTGAAGGCATAGTATCTTTATTAGATGACCCTAATGTTAGAATTTGGGAGTTTGAAAATGGCTAAAGCAAGATTTTGTATGCTTAGTATTTTCCAGTTTACTGGTCATTTAAATTTTCTTTATAATGGAGTTCGCCCGTTGAGTGATATTTCAACTTGGAAGAATATAAAGGATATTGTTTGTGGTAGGTGAAGCAAATTACTCAAAGCGAAAGGTTAATACTGTTTTCCTTGTTGATGCTTGATCACCAGAATTGGTTGGAGGAAGGAAGCTTACCAAAATATTTGAAAAATGCCATGCATGTACTTTGTAAGACCCACATGGATGCAGTACAATATAATCTTGCTTTCAAATTAGGAAGTGAGTCCAGGTGAGGTGGCTCACACTTGTAATCCCAGCACTTTGGGAGGCCAAGGCGGGCGGATCGCCTGGGTCAGGAGTTCAAAACCAGCCTCGCCAGTGTGGTGAAACCTGTCTCTACAGAAAAATACAAAAATTAGCTGAGCCTGGTGGCAGGGGCATGTAATCCCAGCTACTCAGGAGGCCGAGGCAGGGAGGCAGAGGTTGCAGTGAGCCAAGATTGTGTCACTGCACTCCAGCCAGGGTAACAGTGAGACTCTGTCTCAAAAACATAAAAATAATAAAAATCAAATTAGGAAATGAAATGAGGCAATAGATTTCTGTTATTAGGAAAAAAAATCTCAGGTTAGTGTTTCTGATAAATTTGAGACAAATAGACCAGATCTAAGTGGAACCAGAAGTTTCCCTTATATTATTCCGTTTTAACTTGTCAAGTTAGAGTTGGCTTTTCACGTTCTTTTTTTTTTTTTTTTGAAAGACAGAATTTCGCTCTTGTTGCCCAGGTCGGAGTGCAGTGGCGCGATCTTGGCTCAATGCAACCTCCACCTCCTGGGTTCCAGTGATTCTCCTACCTCCGCCTCCCGAGTAACTGGGATTACAGGTGCCTGCCACCACACCTGGCTAATTTTTTAAATTTTTAGTACAGACGGGATTTCACCATGTTAGCCAGGCTGGTCTCAGACTCCTGACCTCAGGTGATCCACCCACCTTGGCTTCCCAAAGCGCTTAGATTACAGGCGTGAGCCACTGCGCCTGGCCAGGTTCTGTTTTTACTATTGTAAATGGGATGAAATAACTGATGTAAACTTCTTCCACTGGTAGAAGCAAAGTCAACTATCTAGAGAGTAAGTATATAGCCACACACTCAGATTCCCTCACTGGTTACCACACAGTAACACACATCAGAACCCCAGACAGTGGACTTGGCAAAGTAGCCTTTGCCAATCTTTTTAGGAGTGAAGTATTATTTCAGTAAAGGTAAGAATGTGGAAAATCCAGTGCATTTGTAGTGAGAAGTCTTTGGGAAATGGGTTTCATGTAGGGAAACCCTTGGCCTCACTTTAACAAAAATTGAAAGTGCAAATAATTGACTTCTTAAAGACTGCTTGAGTCATGTGATTGTTTCGTATCTAGATTCTGAGAGGATTTTACATTGAGAGGGTCAGCTTTCCTTTTCATAAATTGGAACTCTTGGTTAACATTGGTACAGGATTTATGAAATCCTTCTAAAGACCTAAATGTAGGACATTATGTTAAAGGCTTGCTTGTTTTCTGAAATGGTCATATTGGAGAGTTGTTTTAGCATGTGAATCTAGATTTACATAGATATTTAAGTCTCAAATTTTTCTTTTTCTTTTTTGAGATGGAGTCTCGCACTGTTGCCCAGGCTGGAGTGCAGTGGCGCTGTGTCAGCTTACTGCAATCTCTGCCTCCCAGGCTCAAGCGATTCTCCTGCCTCAGCCTCCAGAGTAACTGGGACTACAGGCACGTGCCACCACGCCCGGCTAATTTTTGTATTTTTAGTAGAGATGGTTCTTCGCCATGTTGGCCAGGCTGGTCTCAAACTCCTGACCTCAGGTGATCCACCCTCCTCGGCCTCCCAAAATGCCGGGATTACAGGCGTGAGCCACCGCGCCCGGCCTAACATTTTTCTAATTTAACAAGTATGTGTTAGTTTTTGGTTAAAGGTTCTGTTGAGATCAGTTTTAGCCTTGCTCTTCAAGGTTCTGTGGAGGGAGACATTTAAGGAACTTCAACAAATGGAGATTGGTAACCTCTAGCTTGGAAATGTGTGATTTTTTGTCTGTTTGTTTGTTTGTTTTTGAGGTGGAGTCTCACTCTCTCGCAAAGGCTGTATTGCAGTGGCACGACTCTTGGCTTACTGCAACCTCTGCCTCCTGGGTTCAAGGAATTCTCCTGCCTCAGCCTCTCGAGTAGCTGGGATTACAAGTGCGTGCCACCACACCCGGCTAATTTTTGTATTTTTAGTAGAGATGGGGTTTCATCATGTTGGGCCGCTCTCGAACTCCTGACTACAGGTGATCTGCCTGGCTCGGCCTCCCAAAGTGCTGGGATTACAGGTGTGAGCCACCACCTTGTGGCCAGAAATGTGTGATTTTACATTAAAGTAAAAACAAAGGAACTATTTAACTGGTTTTGCTAGAGAAAGTTAGGCTTGCCTTCTAAAAGGCTCAGCAAGTGCTTTTGACCTGTAGGATAGGAAGGAAGGATGTCTTCTGCAAGAGCAGGTTACATTAGCAAAGGCAAGCAGTTTTTGCATCTGGTTTCAGTCCCTCTTTGTTGTAAGTTAGGACTTGTTTTGTGTGCTTTTCTTCCCAAGTAGATGTACAGCCAGGCATCACTTAGATGGGGATCATTATGTGAGTTTTTGTTGCACAGCGTCATAGAGTGTACTTACACAAACCTGATGGTATAACCTGTACATACCTAGGCTGTGTGGTATGGCCCATTGCTCCTAGGCTACAAACCTGTACAGCATGTTACAGTACTGAATACTGTAGGCAATTATAATACAGCATTGTTTGTGTATCTAAACATAGAAAAGGTACAGTAAAACAGTATAAGGAATTTTAAAAATGATACATCTGTTGTAGAGGGCAGCTCCATTATTATCTTATGAGACCATTATCCTATGTGCTGTCTGTTGTTGATAAAAATGTCATCACATGGCACATGATTGTATATTTTCTCAAAGCTTACTTTTGAACATTGTAGTAAAGACTGAATTAAATCGCCAGATTTACTTTTACTTCCTACCTAACCTTGCCATTAGGTGTTCTAAGGTGGAAGGCTTCTTCAGATGGCTGTTGCTTGAGGGTTGTTTTTTCCCTTTTGGAAGAAATTGTTTCTTTCCAGTGTTAGAACTTACCAAAAATCCTCACCTTTGCTACGTCATTCAAGTGCTTCTCTTTATGTGGATATCCCAGATTTTGATGATGGCGAATGTTTATGACTTTCTGTTTTCTTATCAGACCAAAGAGAACCCTGTACAGTAAGAAATATGGCGTGGACCTCATCAGATACACTCATGCGGCAAACACAGTTGTTTACAGCTCTAACAAAATAGACGGTAAGCAAGCCTTCTTTTTAGGAAGTTAAGGTCGTGGTTTCCTTTGTTAAATAGTTCATGGAATCTTTGTGACTACTTCTGCTTTGACTATAGTTACTTTAGTTTAAATATTTTCATATAATGTTAGTAATGTTAATTACGTTGTTTTGACTGAAGGAATGCTGGAAGCAAGCCATTAGCACTTTTGAAGGACTTGAGACTGAGTATGAAAAGTCTCCAATTTAGAGAGGGGAGTGGAAAAATGAAGCAATGAATTGTATTTATGATTTGTACTTCCTTAAACTTAAAAGAACACTTTTAAAGCCGGGCGTGGTGGCTCACGCCTGTAATCCCAACACTTTGGGAGGCCGAGGTGGGCGGATCACTCGAGGTCAGGAGTTCAAGACCAGCCTGGCCAATATGGTGAAACCTCGTCTCTACTAAAAATACAAAAGTTAGCCGGGCACAGTGGTGTTCGCCTATAATCCCAGCTGCTCGGGAGGCTGAAGCAGGAGAATCGCCTGAACCCCGGAGGCGGAGGTTGTGGTGAGCCAAGATCCCGCCACTGCACTCCAGCCTGGGCAACAGAGCAAGATTCCATCTCCAAAAAGAACACTTTGTGAACAAAGAAAAGGAAAGAACACTTGACACACAGCAAGTGATAAACAACAGGACTTTTTCTTTCAAAATGATAGAGATTTGAGAAAAGTTTCACAAATGCTTGAACTATGATAGTTTAAGGGAAGTTAGAACAGTTTGGGTATTTTCCCAACCTTAGTCACCTCTGATTCCAGGAACGTTTTTTGATCTAAAGAGTAAAGAGTTACTCTTAGAAATTGAACTTGTGAGTTTCTTTCTATTATAAACAATCTCTGTTTTTACCTGCATTTCTCGAGATAAGTCCTAAGAGATTGTCTTGGTAACTGAACTGTAACACTTATTTTCATGTTAGGATTCTTTAATTTTTTTATTTTTGTTTATTTTTTATTTGTTTTGTTTTGTTTTTTTGAGATGGAGTCTCACTCTGTTGCCTAGGCTGGAGTGCAGTGGCGCGATCTCAGCTCGCTGCAACCTCCACCTCCCGGGTTCAAGTAATTTTCCTGCCTCAGCCTCCCAAGTAGCTGGGAGTACAGGTGTGTGCCACCATGCCCAGCTAATTTTTTGTATTTTTAGTAGAGACAGGGTTTCACCATGTTAGCCAGGATGGGTCTCGATCTCCTGACCTTGTGAGCCACCATGCCCAGCCTATTCTTTATTCTTTTGAGACCAAGTCCTGCTCTTGTTGCCCAGGCTGGAGTGCAATGGTACAGTCTCGACTCACTGCAACCTCAGCCTCCTGGGTTCAAGCGATGCTCCTGCCTCGGCCTCCCAAGTAGCTGGTATTACAGGCACCCACCAACACGCCCGGCTAATTTTTGTATTTTTAGTAGATTTGAGACTTCACCATGTTAGCCAGGTTGGTCTCGAACTCCTGACCTCAAGTGATCTGCCTGCCTCAGCCTCCCAATGTGCTGGGATTACAGGTGTGAACCACCATGCCCGGCCAGGATTCTGTTTTTAAACTTATTTCAGTGGTTTATTGATGATCATCTCACATTTTGCAGTAAGGATTTTTTTAGGCCAGGCATAGTGGCTCATGCCTGTAATCCCAGCACTTATGGAGGCCTTGGAGAGTGGATCACTTGAGCCCAGAAGTTTGAGATGAGCCTGGGCAATGTGGGGAAACCCCGTCTCTACAAAAAATACAAAAATTAGCCAGGTGTGATGGGATGTGCCTGTAGTCCCAGCCACTTGTAAGGCTGAGGTGGGAGGATTGCTTGAGCTCTGGAGGTCTAGGGTGTCGTGAACTGTGATCACACCACTGCACTCCAGCCTGGGTGACAGAGTGAGGCTCCATTTCAAAAAAACAAAAAAGATTTTTCTAATGTCATTCCACAAGGATGGCTTATACTGCTATTTTGGCTATACCTATCTCAGAGCAGATTGGGTGGATGTCTTTTTTTTTTTTTTTTTTTTTTTTAGTTTCTTTTTTTTTTTAAATGAGACTCTTCTGCCTGTACTTGATTTTTAGTAAGTATATCACTTCTACTTTCCATGCCTGTATTTCAGAAGTGGTTTTCTAAGGAAGCAGCGTAGTTAATGATTTTGGACAAGAATGTAAAACCTTAGGATCCTGAGGAAACATGTCTATGTGATCATCTGAATGACTGGTTTATTTCTTCTGTTGGGCTGTTTTTCTGAGTGATTAAATGAGGATTCTCCAAATGTGGTGCAAGATGAGGCAAATGTGTGGCACTTGTAGCTTTGCTACCAGGCCTCTGCTGTGAGGATGTTCCCTTTCCTGTCTCAAGTGCATCCTGAAGAGTTCCTCCAGCGCTCCGTTTCCTTTTGCCTGATTCCAGGCTGAGGTAGTAGTTTGTACAGTTTGAGGGTCTATGATACCACCCGGTACAGGAGATAACTGTACAGGCCACTGCCTTGCCAGGAACAGCGCGCCAGCTGCCAAGTGGGGCTGAGAGGATGGCGTCACCCTGCTCATCTCTGGGAAACCAGGTAATGGGAAGGAAGTCTTTTTCTTCTTAGGGCAGGTGAGTCATTGTTAGCAGTAGAATAACTAGAAATACTTCGTAGTTGTCATTCAATAAGTTTGAAGATGTTTTCAAGGAAAATTGTGTAGTGTTCAAGCTATGGAATATACAAATATCCCTATTCCCCCTCCCAAGTTAAATGCCCTCTTATTAGAAAGCACCCCTGTGAACCCCTGGGATGACTCAGTGCTTTCAACCCCTTTATTCCTATGTTCTGTTTGCCTTCAGAATGTTCTTTTTTTTTTTTTTTTTTTTGAGACGGAGTCTCGCTCTGTTGCCCAGGCTGGACTGCAGTGGCCGGATCTCAGCTCACTGCAAGCTCCGCCTCCCGGGTTTACGCCATTCTCCTGCCTCAGCCTCCCGAGTAGCTGGGACTATAGGCACCTGCCACCTCGCCCGGCTAGATTTTTGTATTTTTTAGTAGAGACGGGGTTTCACCGTGTTCGCCAGGATGGTCTTGATCTCCTGACCTCGTGATCCGCCCGTCTCGGCCTCCCAAAGTGCTGGGATTACAGGCTTGAGCCACCGCGCCCGGCCCAGAATGTTCTTTCCATGCTTTTCTTTCTGCATTTTGGTACCATTTTCCCTTAGCTGTTTCTCAACAATTTTTCCTTATTCCTAGTCTTTTTAATGGGATAATACTTTCCTCTTTTGCAGTTTTATTCTTTATGGCACTTCATTTCTCTATCGCCACCATCTTTTTTGTTTGTTTACTCTTTCAGATAGAATCATTTCGTTAAGAGTGTTTGTCTTATTTTTCCCTAAGCACAAATCTCTGATTGTTCCTTTCTTTAATATTGTCAAAATCTCACTGCTATTACTCATTGGTATAAAGATTTGATTTTTTTAATGTCTTAAGATCTTTTTAACCCAGGTCTTGACATCACTTCTCTGACCTTATGTTTATTTTCATTGTAATTTGTGTATCCAATTGAAGAATGTTCAAATGTTCAAGAGGGTGGGTCAACACACTGATAGAGAACTCTAGACAAAAATTGCTGCTAGGGTTCAACCTGATCTTCAGTTTAACTGCCATGGCTGCTCACCTCTTTAAGTCTGTTTGCTTAACAGCCACATATTTTTCTTTAAGGTTTGCCATTCTGTGGACACTAGACCAATATCTAAAATTATTATGTGTGCTTTACTCGTTTTGTTTTTTGGCCAGGGTATATTTGCAGGGCACGAGTTGCATTGTAATTATGAAGAAGCCAAATTGGTAATATAATGTGTTTTCAAACATTGCTTTCTCTGCCATCAACTTAAGAGCTCTGCTTTTGAGTTAGGTGAAATCTACATGCCCACTCTTCAGCTGCAGAGTAGAATTATTCACCATTATTTATTCATGCCTTGCTTGGGATATATAGAAGATAAGGGATTATTTGACCTTGTCCTTTCAAGATGAAAATGCAAAGTAAGTTTATTTTAAACAGTATGATATCATCATACCTTGTTTGTCTTTTTACAGATACTATTCGTTACTTGTCCTTGCATGACAACAAATACATCAGATACTTTCCTGGACATAGCAAAAGGTAAGACCCATGTATTATAGAAGCAGATAGTTCTTTTATCCCTGAGGTTACCCAGAGAATAGAAGGCTAGAGAGAGCTTATTAGTGAACTGAAGCTACTTCCTCACTACTGTTTGGCATTCTTCATCTTCTCTTAAATAGTCAACTCTTGATTTACTAAGGTTATAGAGGTGCGGGGGTAGGTGTTCAGAGATATCTCAGTTAAAATATAACTAGGCCCCGTGCAGTGGCTCACACCTGTAATCCCGGAACTTTGGGAGGCCGAGGCAGGCAAATCACTTGAGGTCAGGAGTTTAAAACCAGCCGGCCAACATGGCGAAACCCCATCTCTACTAAAAATACAAAAATTAGCTGGGTATAGTGGCGGGCACCTGCAATCCTAACTACTTGGGAGGCTGAGGCAAGATAATCACTTGAACCTAGGAGGCGGAGGTTGCAGTGAGCCGAGATTGCGCCACTACACTACAGCTTGGGTGACAGAGGGAGACTCTGTCTCATATACCTATATCTATATATATGTATTTCTAGTTATATATATTTTATATATATAATGTGGGTTACATATAATTTTATGTAAAATTTTATATAATTATATATAATTACATATATATATATGTACAGTAACCCAGGATGGTTTTGATTGGTATGGAGCCCTGACAGGAGATAGCCTGAGAGCCTCCTGTTAGGAGTTATACTTCCAGGCCGGGCATAGTGGCTTAATGCCTGTAATCTCAGCTCTTGAGGGCAGATTGCTTGAGTGTAGGAGTTCGAAACCAGTCTAGGCAACATGGTGAAACCCCGTCTCTACAAAAAAAAATACAAAAATTAGCCAGGAGTGGTGGTGTGCGCCTGTAATTCCTACTACTTGGGAGGCTCAGGCATGAGAATTGCTTGAACCCACGAGACAGAGGCTGCAGTGAACCAGGGTGGCGCCACTGCACTCCATCCAGCCTGGGTGACAGAGCAAGACCCTATCTCAAAAAAAGAAAAAAAAATGTTGCACTTCCAATTGGGCAGGCCATTGTGTTGCTGAAATAAGAAGGCAGCTGAAACTATAGTTTCAGACAAAGGATGGCTCATGGTAAGTAGATGTTTTTGCTTGTTTGTATTCAAATTAATGTTCACAAATGTACTATTTGTAATTAAGAGTTGATGCAGTTGTTTCAAATCCTTTCCAGTCTTCCCAATTATTCACCCTCTTGACCTCCTGATTTTTTTCTTTTTTTTTTTTTCGAGACAGAGTCTCGCTCTATCACCCAGGCTGGAGTGCAGTGGTGCAATCTCTGCTCACTGCAAGCTCCGCCTCCCGGGTTCACGCCATTCTCCTGCCTCAGCCTCCCAAGTAGCTGGGACCACAGGCACCCACCACCAAGCCCGGCTAGTTTTTTGTATTTTTAGTAGAGATGGGGTTTCACCGTGGTAGCTAGGATGGTCTCAATCTCCTGACCTCGTGATCCGCCCGCCTCAGCCTCCCAAAGTGCTGGGATTACAGAGGTGAGCCACCGCACCCAGCTGACCTCCTGATTCTTGATAGATGACTTTGTCCCTCCTTTTATGAGAAAATTAAGGCTGAACAAAATGAGTTCTTTCAGCTGGGCGAAGTGGTTCAGGCCTGTTATCAGCACTTTGGGAGGCTGAGGTGAGAGGATCACTTGAGTCTGGGAGGTCGAGGCTGCAGTGAGCCATGATTTTGCCACTGTACTCTAGCCCGGGCAACAAAGCAAGACCCTGTCTCCAAAAAAAAAAGAGTTCTTTTAAACATCTGTCCCTTCCACCTAAATTCCTCTCTTCCTTGGAATCCTTTCCTTGAGAAAGCTGTGGTCTTTCTTTCACAAAACAAACCTTCCTCTTTCTGCTTGCTTCCATCTCCTTAATCAGCTTTTCCTTTGCTGCCTACAAATTTACTTGGTCTTTCTTATCTTAAGTCTACTTATTGACCCTATCACCCACTCCTTTTCACTATCAAACTTGAAAGAATAATCTGCACATTCCCATCTCCACCTCCTCACACATGTTCACTGTTGAAATCTTTTTTGCAGTAGTCCCAGAATCATCTGTGGGGCTTTATCCAAACCTTTGTCCTTCATTCCCTGCTGCCTCTAGTTAAAACCCACTGCTTTGGGCTTTTCTTGGTGTTTAACCTCTCAATAAAACTTACTTTCCCATGGCAGGTGACTTTTCCCATGTTGGTTCTGTTCTTGTAGTTCTTAGCCTCTGTTTTGACTCTAAAATAAATACTCTATCCGCTTTCTTGTGATTTTCTATCTCCATCGCTGATTTCATTCACCTTCATTCAGGTGGCTTCCCAAATCAGTATTTTTAGCTCATGTCTGTTATGAATTTCAGACCCACCTTCCACCTACAGGTTTTGGTTTTTTTTTGTTTTGTTTTTTGAGATGGAACCTTGCTCTGTCACCCAGGCTGGAGTACAATGGTGTGATCTTGGCTCACTGCAACCTCCGCCACCTGAGTTCAAATGATCCTCCTGCCTCAGCCTCCCGAGTAGCTGGGATTACAGGCGCACACCATCATACCCGGCTAATTTTTGTGTTTTTATAGAGACAGGGTTTCATCATGTTGGCCAGGCTGGTCTCAAACTCCTGACCTCAGGTGATCTGCCCGCCTCGGCTCCCCAAAGTGCTAGGATTATGGGTGGGTGTCACCCATAATCGCCCAGCACCACCTACATGTTTTATACACATCTTCGTAGCTGTCTCTTCTGTCCAATACTCTTTCCAATACTCAGGTCCAGTAGTCTGTCCATCATTGTTACATTCTTTGGGCCAGCTTCTCTCTATCTTCCTCATATTTCTTCGTCTCTGTCTCTTCCAATTCTGGCTCAAAGCATCTGTTGTCAGTGCACTCTTTTTCCCTTGCCATCACATTCAGTGAGTTGTTAAACTATTTAGTTCTCCCTAGGTTTAACCTCATGTATTACTTTCTTCTGTGTTCTCTCCTTTGCTTCTGCCCTGGCTCACATACCGTGTAAGGTAAATTATTGTTAGCTCCTAATTAATCATCCCATCTCTTACCATCCTGCTTCAGCATCCTGGATTGCAGTTTGATTGCTTCACCATCTCCCTTAATGGTTCTCTACATTTTCCTTGCTCCTTCCTCTTGTAGTCAGGTTCTGCCCCTTCTGGCTCTGACCCATTTTCCCAGCATTTTCTCCTACCGTTCCCATTAAGGTGAACTCTGGGCTACTTCTTGAACATGGGCTTCATGCCTTCCTGTCTGGCACCTGTCAGAAAGGTGTCCCTTCGAAATCCTTTCCACCTCAGATGTTGTATCTTTCCAGAAGCCATCTCTGGTTCTCTTGGAGTCATGTGGACTAGACAGTTAAAATTCCTTACACTTGGGGCCTGTCTTCTCCATGTGTTCCCTGTACTTCTCAGCATAGAGTCTTGTACCTCCTCTGAGCTCTTGGGCCGAATGCCATGGCATAAAATTACATGTCCACAATGTGTTCTGCTCATTCTGGTTTTTGTTTTTTGAGACAGTGTCTTGCTTTGTTGCCCAGGCTGGAATGCAGTGGTATGATCTCGGCTCACTGCAACCTCCATCTCTGGGGTTCAAGCGATTCTCCCGCCTCAGCCTCTTGAGTAGCTGGGATTACAGGTGCACGCCACCAGGCCTGGCTAATTTTTGTATTTTTAGTAGAGATGGGATTTCACCATGTTGGCGAAGCTGGTCTCAAACTTCTGACCTCAGGTGATCCGCCCACCTTGGCCTCTCAAAGTGCGGAGATTACAGGCGTGAGCCACCGCACCCAGCCTGCTCATTCTGTTTTATTACCTCCTCAGCATTCCCAAGAAATTTTGGCTTTTAACAATATCTTTTAAAATTTTAAGTCGAGGAGCTGGTGCAGATGTTAGTTGAGTTACATTGGAAGAAAATGTTTTTAAGTGAGTGCCTCTTGATGGTATAACCACAAAAAGGGATCAAATCAGGAATACAGTTGCTGTTAGCGTAGGCTTGTGGTTCTCTAGGTGTGGTGCCCAAATAGCAGCCTCACCCATCACCTGGGGCTAGTTAGAAACTCAGATTCACAGACCCCAAGTCAGGCCTACTGGATTAGAGGCTCTGGGAGTAGATCCTAGCAATCTGTTTTAACCCACCCTCCAGGTGATGCTGATGCCACTTAGGTTTGAGAACATCTGTGTAGTCCTCACACATCTAGATAAGGAATCATGCTTTTTTGTGTTTTTTTAAATTGAGATACAGTCTACATACTATAAATGATTCCTTTAAAAATGTACAATTTAGTGGTTTTCACTATATTTGCAGAGTCGGACAACTATCACCATTGTCTAACTTTAGAACATTTTTATCACTCCAAAGAGAAACTCTGTACCCATTAGTAATCACTGCCCCAGCCCCTACCAACCACTGATCTACTTGTGTCTCTATAGATTTGCCTATTCTAAGGCCGGGCGCGGTAGCTCACGCCTGTAATCCCAGCACTTTGGGAGGCCGAGGCGGGCGGATCACGAGGTCAGGAGATCGAGACCATCCTGGTGAACACGGTGAAACCCCATCTCTACTAAAAATACAAAAAAATTAGCCAGGCGTGGTTGCGGGTGCCTGTAGTCCCAGCTTCTAGGGAGGCTGAGGCAGGAGAATGGCGTGAACCAGGGAGGTGGCGGAGCTTGCAGTGAGCAGAGATCAGGTCACTGCACTCCAGCCTGGGCGACAGAGTGAGACTCTGTCTCAAAAAAAAAAAAAAGTGGCCGGGCGCGGTGGCTCAAGCCTGTAATCCCAGCACTTTGGGAGGCCGAGACGGGCGGATCACGAGGTCAGGAGATCGAGACCATCCTGGCGAACACGGTGAAACCCTGTCTCTACTAAAAAATACAAAAAACTAGCCGGGCGAGGTGGCAGGCGCCTGTAGTCCCAGCTACTCGGGAGGCTGAGGCAGGAGAATGGCCTAAACCCAGGAGGCGGAGCTTGCAGTGAGCTGAGATCCGGCCACTGCACTCCAGCCTGGGAGACAGAGTGAGACTCCATCTCAAAAAAAAAAAAAAAAAAGATTTGCCTATTCTAGACATTTTGTGTAAATGGATCAGTTAACATCTGATCTTTTGTTTCTGGCTTCTCAAGATTCCTCCATGTTGTTGCACGAGGCAGTACTTTATTACTTTTTATTGCCAAATAATATTCCAGTGTATAGATATAGCACATTTGTTTGTCCATCCATTAGTTAATGGACATTTGGGTTATTTCTACTTTTTGGCTATTATGAATAATGCAGCTCTGAACATATGTGTACATTTTTGTGTGGACATGTATTTTCAGTTATCTTGGGTAAATACCTAGGAGTGGAATTTCTGGGTCACATGGTAACTCTTGTTTTTTTGGAAAAACTTTTCCAGAGCAACTGTACCATTTTTACATTTTCATTAGCAATGTATGAAGGTTCCAATTTCTCTATGTCCTCACCAATACTTGTTGTCTCTCTTTTTATAGCTATGCTGGAGGGTGTGGAGTAGTATCTCATTGTGGTTTTGATTTGCATTGGAATCATATATTTTTATTTTGTAGCTTTATTATTATTTTTTTTTTTTTGCATTATACTAGTTGTCTTTGTTCCAGATATGGTTGTGGTATGTGTGTTTTAGTGTGCTTCTTAAAATGGCAATTTCAGGAGAACAGATACATATATATAGGCAGAGTGGTTTAGAATTCACATCCAATTTTTGCTAATATTTCGCATCAACTCCTATTTATCTCGATGTATTGCAGGGTGGTGGCCTTGTCCATGTCACCTGTGGATGACACTTTCATTTCTGGGTCTCTAGATAAGACCATTCGACTCTGGGATCTCCGGTCTCCTAACTGCCAGGTAATGGTACCTCACAGTTATGCTTTTTGAGCATTTTCTATGGTAGGCCCTATAATGAACTCTACCTCTCAAAGAAGGGAGAAAACAGTGGTTCCATTCTGGGATCCCAGGGTCTTTTTAAATTTTGGAGAAAATCTGTTTTCTTAGTTGGTAGCTGCTAAGCAAATACCCTAATCTAGTGCAGATTGCATTGTACTCTGTGGCTTGTTGTGGGGTTTTTGTTGTTTTGTTTTGTTTTGGTTTTGGTTTTCGTTTTGAGACCGGGTTTTGCTGTTGTTGCCCAGGCTGGAGTGCAATGGTGCGATCTCGGCTCACCGCAACCTCCACCTCCAGGGTTCAAGCGATTCTTCTGCCTCAACCTCCCAAGTAGCTGGGATTACAGGCATGCATCACCATGTCCGGCTAATTTTGTATTTTTAGTAGAGACGGGGTTTCTCCATGTTGGTCAGGGTGGTCTCCCGACCTCAGGTGATCCGCCCACCTTGGCCTCCCAAAGTTCTGGAATTGTAGGTGTGAGCCACTGTGCCCAGCCAGCTTAATGTTTTAAAAGTGTTCCTAGAGCTTTTAGCTTCAAGGGATTTATTTTTATTTGAATTCTGTGTCTGTAATATTGTGCAGTTAGAGTTGATCAGAAATTATCTGGAGACCTGTTTTTTAAAAGCTTCATTTTAGTTTTATGTTTGCTTTTTCTGTTCTGTAGGTAGACTGATATCTGTTTGTATGCCTTTCTTAGTTTTAATTGGGACAAGTAAATTATATAGTGGTAGGGTCCTGGATTCATTTTTTTCCCCATTGTACTAGCAGTCTTTGGTTGTTCCAGGTGTGGTTGTGGTATGTGTGTTTTAGTGTATTTCTTATTTCTTTTCTTTTAGGGCCTCATGCATCTGCAGGGGAAGCCAGTTTGTTCTTTTGATCCAGAAGGGTTAATTTTCGCTGCAGGTGTCAACTCTGAAATGGTCAAACTTTATGACCTTCGTTCTTTTGACAAGGTAAATATTTGAATCTTTGAGCTATCTTAATATTATGGTGAAATAGACATGTAACTGCTTTTTTTTTTTTTTTTTTTTTTTTTTTTTTTTTTGAGACAAGAATTTTGCTTTTGTTGTCCAAGCTGGAGTGCAGTGGTGCAATCTCAGCTCACTGCAGCCTCTGCCTCCCAGGTTCAAGTGATTCTCCTACCTCAGCCTCCCAAGTAGTTGGGATTACACAAGCCCGCCACCACGCCTGGCTAATTTTTTGTATTTAGTAGAGACGGGGTTTCACCATGTTGGTCAGGCTGCTCTCAAACTCCTCACCTCTGGTGATCCACCCACCTCAGCCTCCCAAAGTGCTGGGATTACAGGCGCGAGCCACCACGCCTGGCCCTGTAAGAGCATTTTCTACAAAAAGAAAAATATGGTAGATATTAGAGAGTGGCAGAGAAGTAGCTCATTCTCTGCTTTCCTTAGTCAAAAAGGAATCTAAAGGAATAGGATGGGAATTGGCTCTAGCAGAAGAAATTGTTAATATGCCTTGGGCCTGGGGCTACTATTTTTTATCTTTTGCAGGGGCCATTTGCTACCTTTAAGATGCAATATGATCGAACTTGTGAGTGGACAGGACTTAAATTCAGCAATGATGGCAAGCTCATCCTCATTTCCACCAACGGCAGCTTCATTCGTCTCATTGATGCATTCAAAGGAGTGGTGATGCACACGTTTGGGGTGAGCTGATGGCCTTCAAGCATGGCTGTTTCCATGCTTATACTTCCTATGCTAAGAATTATGTTAGCTGGTTGGTGGAGACCAACAGTTACTCTTGACTTACTCATGAAGGCATGCACTTGTATTTTTTCTTCCTGCTCATTGAACTTACCTCCCTTGGATTCTGTAGACATTCATTTCTCACCAAGTGACCCAAGTTTGGTATTTAGATATAAAATAATGTCCTAAAAATAAAGTTTTCTTGCTCCCTTGAGTGTACCTTGAATACAGAGTTGAAGGTGGGAGTGGATTGTCAAGGATGGCAACCACATTTGGAAGCTTGGTGGTGTAGTACATGACAAGGAAAGGGTTTCATGGAAAGGAAGGTGATGCATGTGCTAAGTTAGTGTTTGTAGGCAGCTGTTTTTATTAACGGCTCTGTAACAACAAAAGAACTGCTCTGTTTTGTTTTAGGGTTATGCCAATAGCAAAGCTGTCACACTGGAGGCTTCATTTACTCCAGACTCTCAGTTTATTATGATTGGTGAGTTTCCTTTATCCCCTGTGGGGGTTATTTCTCTGGTACTATGCATTTTTTTGTTTAAATTATTAACTGAGACATTATTATCTATTTGATAGACGTTCTCAGATTTCTGTATAGCACATTATGCCAAGGACATAGTGTCTTTTAACTGCCCTGACTGGACCAAAATTTGAGTTAAACTCTACCAGCACTACCTTATTAGTAATACTGATGTCCTGGTGTAACCCTACATTCAGTCATCTTAGTGGCTGCCTGTCGGTAGGGTAATGGTATTCGGCCCCTTTTTTAGATGAGAAAACTGAAGTCAGAGGGGAAGTGACATGCCTGTGAACAAATAGCTAGGGTCAAGATCAATTTCCAAAATGTTCTTCCTTCACTGCCTCTCGTCCCTCTCAAATTTGCCTGAGGGATGGGTCCTAAAGCTTGGCCTATCCTCAGACCTCAATCCATGTCTCATTTCCAGTTGTCTTTGGATTGTGTCTTGAGCTGTTACATTTTCCTTGAATATCCTCTTTAGGTTCAGAGGATGGCAAGATCCATGTCTGGAATGGAGAGAGCGGTATAAAAGTAGCTGTGTTGGATGGTAAACACACAGGCCCGATTACCTGTTTGCAATTCAACCCCAAGTTCATGACTTTTGCCAGCGCATGTTCCAACATGGTATGTGAATAGTAAGAGGTGTCTGCCACTCAGGGACCCTTTCCAGTTGAGGTGGTGGGTGCCTCAATAAGCACAGCAAGCTGTGTTCTATGTAGGTAGATTACAAGCATCCAAGTACATGTTTCTCAACTGGTGGTTTCCCTATTTCACCTCCTATTATTTGACCTCTGGCTGGGCTGGTTTTGTCTTTCATTTTTATTCTTCCTAGAGGTGATCAGGAATCACCTTTGAGCTCCAAGGAAATCATAGGCCAGTTTTTGCTCTGGACCCTAATTTTAGGTCCAAACTACCTGGGCTATGCTTGGCAATTTTTTTGCTCCTTAAAATACTCTGAACTGGCCTATTGTGGTTTCAGTTTTCCATTCCTGTTGGTTTATGCCAAATTCCCAGAAATTTCTACAGTTGGTCATAACTCACCACTTAGAATTAACTCCAGGCCCTTGTCTCTTCCTAGATAATACTAACAGAATAAAGGATCATTGAGTCTCAGCTCCGGTTTTCCCTTGTGATCTCCTAAACCTGCCTGGGTATTCGGGGATGAGACATTTCATTACTAGCCTACCCAGAACACATTGCCCTCTTTTTTTTTTTTTTAACCAAGAAAAAAAATATTAGAAGAAATACAGCAAAACCATCCAGTTCCTTATTTTTTACAGCCCAGGAAGGAGAGGACCTGTTGGAGGTAACCTGGTGGATTAGCAATGAGGCCAGGTTACCTATTCACCCACCTCCCAGGCAGCACTCCTTTTTTTTACATTCCTTTAAAATAAAAAAAAGGGTGTGCTCTGGTGGAAGGTGTTCAGTGATTATTGGAGAAAAACAGAACCAGTTTACTTTCACATAGAGGGAAGAGTGTTTCTGTCTCCTTAGAGCATCAGGGTTGGTTGGTCAGGAGGGAGGACCACCAGAGCCATTGGGGTTGGGCACATTTTTGCTGTGGGGTGAGATGTGAATAACCCTCAGCAGTGAGGAGATGCTTGGCTTTTTAAAGTTGATTTATGTTCTCTTTCTAGGCCTTTTGGTTGCCCACCATTGATGACTGACCCTGATGCTGCTCGGCTATTTCTGTACAGTGAGGGCGGCCAGCAGGAAGATACTCAGAGGGGACTGAGATAATAGTGGGATTGGATCATTTGACTGGGCTGGAGAACATCCTTTTACATGGCCTTCCCATGGATGTGCTGTACATCTGCTCAAAAGAAAATAATTACTTTGATGAGCGTCTTCAAAAGGACTCTTGGTGCAACAGACTGAATTGGAACTCAGCTTTTCTAGCTGTCACTGCACCAAGCTCTGCTAGAGGAGCGACTGGACTCACAATTTGGTATAGTGGGGCTCTCAAGCATCTTCAATTTGAATGTACATTCTGCTGAGGAGCCAGTGAAGTCATCAGTTCCTCACATCCCTTCTCCTACCCCCCAACTGCATGGGAAGTCACAGTCCTGGTTTTGAAATGCTCGGGCAGCTCAGCCGCTTGCCCTCACCCTGCATGTCTTGTTACTGGGTCTCCCTGTGTACTTGTGGCATTATCCACAACCATCATGTTTCTTAGGTGCCAAACATTTACAGAAACATTTTCATATATCTTGGGGTCAGAGAGAGGGACAGATACAGAAGGAAGTCATGCAGTTAGTTTCTGCAGTTAGTCGTGTGAGGCTAGGTGGTCGGGCAGGCCTCAGGCTGTCGGTGTTGGGTGGGAAAAGACCCAAGGGCCTGAAAGGGACGGAAAGGGGAGGGTAGCGGGAGGGTAGCAGGTGAGTTCCTAGGGCTGGAAGGTTTAGCAGCAGCCTGGTGCAGTGCCCTGTCTCAACACAAACCCACAGTCCTCCTGGGTGCCTACCAAGCTTGGTTTGTACAAAAGCAAGGTGGGAGTCTATTTTTGTACATGAGATACATCACACTTTCCTGTGGGCCAGTATTGTGAAGTGAGTCTGAGTTGTTTACACTGATGCCTTCCCTGCCCACCACAAATTGTGTACATAGTCTTCAGATGATACCACCCCTTTCCCCGGCTCCCAACTAAGAGCTGGTTCTAGGTCTGTGTTATATGTCTTATTTAGCCTTTTTATATATGACCTTTGATTTCTGTTGTTTGTATTTTAGCACCTTCATTTAAATACATCTGTGTGCATACAGATATGCATATATGTGTGTGCGTATGCATATATCTTTCATCTGTAGTTTCTGAGAGTTCAGCTGAGGCAGATGGAGTCCTGCAGCCCAGGAGACACATTGCATCCCTGCTAATAGTGTTTGCCACAAGTATTAGTGAATCTTCCTTATTAATGTTTTTATTTCAGAAGACTGAAGCAAAGCTTATAGTGCTTGCTGTTTCCATGGCAGCTAAGTGAGGGTCTTGGGATGACTCACTGTGTTCCTCAAGCTGCACTTTGGGGCCATCTCTGCAGTATTAGCCCCCTTTTTGCTTGGTGGTACTCTTGTCTGTGCCTGTGTGTGTGTGATAGTCACTCTTGCATGGCTTCCATGTCTGGGTTGTGGCATTTGGGGATAAGGTGCTGGAGCCAGAGCATTTTCAGTTTGTTTGAGGCCTCGTTGCCAATGATAGATCACTCCCGTTGACCTGGTATGCCTGCTTGCTTGCTGCTTTTCCTTGCTTTCTCTTGGATGAGGAAGGGACTCTGGTCAGGCCCAGGCTGAGTGAGATGAGCTGCAGCTGGCTCATGGCCTTCTTAGAGCGGAGAGAGTGGTCTCTCATTTTACTAAGTTCCTAAACAAACATTTATACAGGCAACACTCCTTGCAGATCCAGAAACTGAGGCACAGTAGGGTTATGACTTGCTCAAGAATACGTAGCTTCTAGGGAATAAATCAAGGCATCACAACTTCTGTTCAGCGGGCAGGAATAGGCTGTGAATTGCTAGCACTTTTTTTTTTAAGCAATTACTTTTTGACTTGTTCCTCCAACGGAAAGTGCAAGAGGCGTACACCTTTCCCAAATGTAGACTAGAATCTGCAGGATGCCACCCACTGTATAGCTCTGCTTTCCCAGAGAGGAAGAACTTTTAGAAACCAAATGATCTTGTTATTGCCCACCCCTGGCTTTTCAGGGTAGAAAATTCATGATAGGAATGATTGTTAAGAGAATGCTTGGAACCGTGGGTTAACAGGAAAGGCTACATAACTTCACATATCTGCAACCAGAGCAGCCACCAAGCATGACTTACTCAGCAGCAGGAAGATGATTGTATTTGAATTCCTGTGTGTCCAAAACTGAGGCACCATGTTCTTTGAAAACATGCCACCTAAGGCTGAGCACAGTGGCTCATGCCTGTAATCCCAGCACTTTGGGAGGCCAAGGCGGGAGGATCACTGGAGGTCGGGAGTTCGAGACCAGCCTGACCAACATGGAGAAACCCCATCTCTACTAAAAATACAAAATTAGCCGGGTGTGGTGGCACATGCCTGTAATGACAGCTACCCGGGAGGCTGAGGCAGGAGAATCGCTTGAACCTGGGAGGTGGAGGTTGTGGTGAGCTGAGATCGTGCCATTGCACTCTGGCCTGGGCAGCAAGAGCAAAACGCCATCTCAAAAACAAACAAAACGTGCCACCTCATGGCTTGTATTGTTGGGCCCTGTGGTTGCAAAGCTGCCTCCTGAGTTAAGGAGGAAAGGGAAAAGATATAGCTGGAAGTGAGTGGAAGAGATGCTGAGGTCTGGGGCTGCACAGATGCTCTCAGCAGAGCTAGAGGTGCTCGAGCCCTACTGGGGATGGATGGGGAGTGGGGCAGCGGCATTTGCTACCTTAGGAATCAGGGCCAAAGCCACTGATGTTTATTTGACAGCAACACTGCACTGGGTACTTAAAGAAATACTTAAAGAAATTATTTCCTGTTGCAATTATAATTACTGCTTATTAAGGAAATTTTGGGAATTTTAGAAAGAATCAAGTTTGCCACCCAAATGCTACCACTGTTAATCTTTTGGTGTTAAATGTTCCCCCTAGACATTTCTGTGCATAGATTTTTGGTGTGTTTACATAGTCATTATTCTACTGTATATACAATTTTATGTCCCTTTTGTACTTAACATATAAACATTTTTTCCATGTTACAGTCTTAAACAGAATTTTATGGCTGCCTTCTCTTTGATAGGAGTTTCTGTAGCATTGTTTTCCTGGTCCCAGAGCTGGAGGGAGGCTTGGGTTTTCTCCTATTAGTTCTCCTGGCTCACACTGCAGCTTGCTGTAATGCTGTGTGGATGGATTGCTGGGCTCTCTGGGACTGCCTCTGACTGCCCCTTGGTAACTTAAGATTTATGGGCTGGTGGGAGGAACCCCTAGAACCAACCTTCAACCCCAGGCTGTAATAGCCATAGAGCCAGAAATGACTGACTGGGAAAGGCAAGCCTGAGCCAGCCTGAGTCTTTGGAGACTGTCTGGCACTTATCTCAGGCTGCCTTGCATCCCCTACTGTTTACCTCAACCCTTGACCAGATTGACAACCTCTAGTTGGAATATGTTTTGTCCTGGCTTCAGGAGGGCAAGGATATTGGAGTCTCTCTGAGGCCCCGGCACACAGTCTGGCAGAAGGTAATTTCTTTGGTAACCCATCAGGCTGCTGCTCTAGCTCAGCATCCTCAGAGCTGTAGAACCTGCTTCCTGCTCTTGCTTCACCCTCTGTGGATCAGCGAAGAAAACCTCGGGCCTGCTACATTTTCACATTGCTCATGGGACTCTGCGACAGTGGCAGAGGGAACATCCTAGCTTGTGTGTGACAGGCCGTGCATAGGTTTCTCTGACACACACTGTACGAAGGAGGAGACCCACTCCTGGCCTGATGGGAGGACTGCTGCCATGTTCAGCTCTGCTGGGAGACGTGAACAAGTAGGTAAGCATGGCTGCACTTACAGCAGCTACTCCAGTCTCTGGCCTGCTCGCAACTGAAAGACCCACTTCACCCACTCCCCATGCTTCAGCCTTGTGATGTGAGGAACAACAGCAGGCCGGGTGGCAAGCTAGGCAAGCAGGCTGTGGGGGCGAGCTGGCTCAGCAGTTGATGTGGGTAAGAGAAGCAGGCACAGGATGCTGCCCACACTTTTTTTTTTTTGTTTTTGCCCAGGCGGAGTGGTGAGGTAGTGGGGGCTGTGGTGAGGAAAGAGGAAGTGACACTCCTACAGGCTGGTAGGATAGCACTCAAGCTGCCTGATTAGAGGAGTCCTGGTGAGACTACCATAGGGCCCAGCTGTGGACAGGTTCAGCCCTGAAGTCCTGCACTGTGGAATACAGCAGTGGGAAATGTCTGATGCAGTTTTTCGAGTCTTCCCTGGAGAATGTGTAGGAAATGAAATCTACAGTTAATGGGTAGGAAAGGGGGTCTGGGGCCAGGTGCAGTGGCTTATGCCTGTAATCCCAGCACTTTGGGAGACCGAGATGGGTGGATCACTTGAGGTCAGGAGTTTGAGACCAGCCTGGCCAACATGATGAAACCCCATCTCTACTAAAAATATTAGGTGTGGTGGTGTGTGCGTGTAATCCCAGCTATTCAGGAGGCTGAGGCAGGAGAATCACTTGAACCCAGGAGGCTAGAGGTTGCAGTGAACTGAGATTGCACCATTGCACTCCAGCCTGGGTGACAAGAGTGAAACTCTCTCCAAAAAAAAAAAAGCCGGCGGGGGTGGTGGTGGGTTCTGAGAGCCTCTCAGTTGAGTTAATTATACAGGTTTTACCATTGGCTCTGCGACCTGTTGGATATTCTTTTTGGCTGCAATTTTGGGCTGTCAGTTGCCTGGTAAGAGAATTCACATAAATAATAAAGTAGGAGTAAATCAGGGAAGGGTCAAGTAAAGCTGAGGTCATGAAGGTGGTTGCCTTGTAATTCAACATATACTTCATGAGCACTTGAGCTTTGGTACGTTCTAGTTGACAGCATAGTAGTTGTTTTTGAGACAGAGTTTCGCTCTTGTTGCCCAGGCTGGAGTACAATGGTGCGATCTTGGCTCACCGCAACCTCCGCCTCCCAGGTTCAAGCGATTCTCCTGCCTCAGCCTCCCAAGTAGCTGGGATTACAGACATGCGCCACCACACCTGGCTAATTTTGTATTTTTAGTAGAGACAGGGTTTCAACATGTTGGTCAGGCTGATCTCAAACTCCCGACCTCAGGTGATCTGCCTGCCTCAGCCTCCCAAAGTGCTGGGATGACAGGCGTGAGCCAGCATGCCCGGCCCCATTTGTGTGTGTGTGTGTGTGTGTGTGTTTTGAGATAGTCTCACTGTGTTGCCCAGGCTGGAGTGGAGTGGCACAATTTCCGCTCACTGCAGCTTCCACCTCCTGGGTTCAGGTGATCCTCCCACCTCAGCCTCCCGAGTAGCTAGGACCACAGGCATATATCACAATGCCCAGCTAATTTTTTGTATTTTTTTATAGATACGGGGTTTCACCATGTTGTTCAAGATGATCTCAGACTCCTGAGCTCAAGTGATCTGCCTGCCTCAGCCTCCCAAAGTCCTGGGATTACTGGCGTGAGCCACTGTGCCTGGCCAAGATGACAACATAGTCTTTTTGGATTAGATGAACTAAGCTGCTTATTACACAGCAAGCCCTAGGGCCCTAACTTTATCCAGCTAATTCTAGCTTTACAGAAATTTGCATTCAAAAGTAAGTGAAAAAGTCACAGTGTACATCTGTAATTCCAGCTACAGGCTGGGAGGACTGCTTGAACCCAGCAGTTTGAGACTAGCCTGGGCAAAACAGACCCTGTCTCATTACTTTTTATTTTTATTTTTTTGAGATGGAGTCTCGCTATGTCGCCCAGGCTGGAGTGCAGTGGCACAATCTCAGCTCACTGCAACCTCCGCCTCCCGTGTTCAAACGATTCTTCTGCCTCAGCCTTCTGAGCAGCTGGGACTACAGGCGCGCACGACCACATCCAGCTAATTTTTGGATTTTCAGTAGAGACAGGGTTTCACCATATTGGCCAGGCTGGTCTCAAACTGACCTCATGATTTGAGCCACCATGCCTGGCTTTTTTTTTTTTTTTTTTTTTTTTTAAGTGAAAAGACCACCCTTCCAGTATCTCAAACCCATAGCCTACAAGTAAGTACATGGTGGTGCACGCCTGTAACCCTAGAGAAGCTGAGGTGGGATTATCACTTGCATCCAGTTTGAGCCAGTCTGGGCAACAGACCCTGTCTCTACAAAAAATAAAAAGTTAGCAGGGTGTGGTGGTGCATACCTGTGGTCCCAGCTACTCGGAATGCTGAGGTGGGAGGATCACTTGAGCCCAGGAGGTCAAAACTGCAGTGATCACACCACTGCACTCCAGCCTGGGTGACAGAGTGAGACTGTCTCCCCCCGCACCCCGCCAAAAAAAAACTAGTGTGGTGGCTCATACCTGTAACCCCACCACTTTGGGAGGCTGACGCAGGTGGATCACTTAGAGTCAGGCGTTCAAGACCAGCCTGGCCAACATGGTGAAACCCCATCTCTACTAAAAATACAAAAATTAGCTGGGTGTGATGGCGCATGCCTGCAGTCCCAGCTACTTGGGAAGCTGAGGCAGGAGAATGGCTTGAACCCGGGAGGTGGAGGCTGGAGGTTGCATTGAGCCCAGACCGTGCCCACTGCACTCCAGCCTGGGTGACACAGCGAGACTCCATCTCAAAAGGAAAAAAAAGTGATGGTAGAGACTTCTGTTTCCTGGCCAAAAATTCTCTCACTGGGGCTCACCCAGGCTGAGAACTAGGGAAACTGCAAAGAAAACATAGTCCTGATTACGTGCAGGCTTACAAGGTGGAGCTAAAACTAATCCACTGGAAGGTAACAAGAAACAGCAATAGGTATCCTTTTTTTTTTTTTTTTTTTTTCTTTTTTGAAACAGAGTCTTGCTGTCACCCAGGCTGGAGTGCAGTGGCGTGATCTCCACTCGCTGCAAGCTCCGCCTCCTCCCGGGTTCACGCCATTCTCCTGCCTTAGCCTCTGGAGTACCTCGGACTACAGGCAGCCGCCACCATGACCGGCTAATTTTTTGTATTTTTAGTAGATACAGGGTTTCACCGTGTTAGCCAGGATGGCCTTGATCTCCTGACCTTGAAGTCTGCCCGCCTCGGCCTCCCAAAGTGCTGGGATTACAGGCGTGAGCCACCACACCCAGCCAACAATAGGTATCCTTAATCCAAGCTGTACAGCAATTCATGATTCACAAGTCTCTTCTGTAGAAAACATTTAATAATAGGGAGGTGATGGAACAACAAAGCAAAGGCAGTGTTGGGGCATCAGACCAGGGCAGGGCTGGAACTAGGGAGAAGCAACCAGTTAGGAGGCAGGCTACTACAGGTAACAAATGGAGAGCCCTCTCACCCAGCCAACTCCAAGAGTTCCTCTAGTCCCTTGTGCTTTACCCCAGACTTTAGCCCCAGAGCCTGTTCCTCATCTCCAGCAAAGAATAGCAGGGCAGGACCTGAGTTGGTCTCTTTTCAGGGGCTGTCTTGAAGATGGCTGTTTTAGCAGACATGAGGCTGCCCAAAGGTTTCTACAAGCCACCCTGCGTGGACTTTGGGGGTTGTTGAACGCATGCTCTGACATCCATGAATTGGAGACCTGGATCTAAACATGGGTTAGCTGCCCATCCTGGCATCTTTGGCTAATACCCTTAGCCTGGGTGCCCCTGAGAATGATACTTTGGGCTGTTGAAGATCCTGTCTGAGGAACCTCACATGGGTTTCCTAGTTAACTTGTAAAGTCACTCTGCCAGAGGTTATCACCGCAAAAAGCAGGACCTGGTGGGCTGGGCTCTCCATACCCTTCCAGCTCTGACTGCCTGGCATAAATGTTCCTCTTGAGATGGATGTGTGTTGAGGTGCAGGGAGAGCGCTGGGCTGTGGCTAGGGATAGGGCAGGCAGGATTTGCTCTTGGTCACACTGGAGGGATGCCCAGACCACACCCGGGCACTGGAGCAGTTCTGGGATACAGTGTCTGAATCCTCAGTGGCCACTGCTCTCTTGGCCCTGACTGTGCAAGGGAATCACGAACACAGAGACGTCATCGTAGGACACCTGCCCTTCCTCTGTGGGACTGTCTTCCTTTCCCTGTGTGCTGTGTATCAGCATCTGGGCCAGCTTCAAGAACCTGTGAAGACCATCCTGCAGATAGACTTCAGGGGCAGAGCAAAGGGGCAAGGCCAGCCCTCAGGAGAACTCACTGCACAAGGCTGGACATGGGGACCCAAGCAGTGCAGTCCGACTGGGGACCAAGCAAGCAGCAAGCCTGGAAGGGCCATGGGCTGAACCACAAGAGGCTATATCCAGGGATTTTTGGAACCCTACTCTCCCCTCCTCCTCCAAGAAGCTTGAGACAGCCCTGATCCTGGCCAGCTGCCAGCTCATTGTCAGTGCTATCTTCTCAGCCATAACTACTTGGGCTTGCTGCTGGCACCAACCCAGGCCCAGGCAGGTCCCCAGCAGCTACAGTACCTGTGTGGGTCCTCTTGGTTCCCAGGGAGGAAGCTCCGCACCAGCCATGCCACCTGCTCGTTGGACAGGACATCCCAGAGTCCATCAGTCGCCATGACAACCACATCATCCTCCTGTAGCTCCAGCTGGCCCACATCCAGCACAGTCACCTACAAGTTAAGCCTGAGGATCTTGCACACTCCCTTCCCGACTCCCAACAGCCTCACTGTCCGCCTTTCTGGGCAAATGGAAGCTGGGTTGGACAGCGTTTCCCCCCTTACCTGTGGGACAGAGAGCAAGAAGGGCTTGAGCTGGATGTTCGTGTCTAGGACTCTGAGCTGATGGTCTCCCAGCCCCCGGGAGACAGCCAGTGTTCCTAGTAACCGAGCCTGAGGGAAAGTGAGGTGTGAGGTGATGGCAAATGGCTCCAGCAAATGCACAAGTACCAGGCCCTAGCACTGCAGAGCACACAGGGAGAGGTGGACTGTGGCCCTTGGAAGCCTTAGACTGAGAAAATTCATGGACTCAGAGCAAATCCCAGGCCACCAGCCACAGCTACCAGCAAGAGGCAAAGAAAGGAGCTCCCACCTCTGCAGGGGACAATGAAGAGGGATTCTTGGGGTTAGGGGGTGCCAGGCACTGACCTGCCTACCCTGTCCATGGATCAGTGGGTACTTGAGATCCGATTTCTCCACACGTTTGTAGCTCCTACCAGAAGCAGAGCCAGCATCCATGCAAGCCCTGTGCCCCATCTCATCTTTTCCCAACTCAGGGCCCAGCTATCACACCCTCACAGTGCCCACCCTGCCAAGGTAGAGGGGGGCTGCCCCAGGCCATACAGCTGGGACTGGATCCCAGGGGTCTCCCTTCCCACCTGTCCACCATCCCCACTCACCAACCACTCATGTGGTGATCCCTGAACAAAACCTTCTGTCCCAAGTCATCCCCCTTCAGCCGCCGAGGGAACTCCAGTCGGGTGAACTCGCCAGCCAGAAGCTCAGGGTAGACAAAGGCCTGGGGTGGGGAGGCTGCACTCAGGTCATACTCACTCTTGTGGCCCTGGACGCAGGAGTTGGGGCTTCACAGCCTCCATGCTGCCAAGGGCACCTACCAGCTGCTGGATCCGCTGCCGCTCAGTCTCTGGGGTGAACTCGAAGCTCAGTGGCCGTATCTCATCTCTTCGCACCAAGATGGCCCTGGATTGAGGAGAGAAGGGAGAGGTCTAGGAGGGGGGCTCCACCCTCACCCATGGCCACCCTCCTACCAGTCCTTCCTCCAACCACCAGGACCCAGCTCTGCCCATGATGATTCCTTAAAGCCCTCCATGACTACCTAAGACCTGCAAGGGTGAAGGCTTAGCCCTTTAGCAGGGCCCCTGAGGTCCCCGCCCTCCCCAGCAGCTACTGTCCACCCTCACACTCAACACATACCAAATACACATAATTCAGCCAGTCAATCCTTCCTACTATCCCTCCACTTCCAGCCACCTTTGCTTGTCCCCATTGCTGCTTGTGCTCTCCCCATCCCACCCTTGCCCACCTTCCAAGGGGTGACTCACCTGCTATCCCCAGCATTGGCCACGTACAGCTTTCCCTGCAGGGACACAGCCACCAGGGCTGTGCAGCCGCCCACCTGGCCTGAGGCCTCCAGCTCCCGCCCGATCACCTCGTCCTGGGGCAAACCAAGGCCACCTTAGCTGCTGCCTGTTCTGCCACCATACTACTTTGTCTCTCGATCCCCACCCTACCCGACAGTTCACTTCTACTAGCAGGCCTGACAGTCCCAGCCCAAAGTCCAGCCATGCCTCCAAGATCCCTGCAGTCAGGAGATCTAGACAAGGGAAGTGCTACTCAAAATAGGAAGAGAAACCAGCCACTGCACCAAGAACCAAAAGGGTATTCAATTAGATGATGCAGGTAAAAGCACTTAGCACACAGTAGGCGCTGGATAAAATGAGAGGGTTATGCTGACAGTGATGGCTGTTAGTAACAACCCAACCAACCCAATCTCATCCTCCCAATCCAAGGATCTGGTGTGATGACCATGGGTATACAGAGATGCCATTTCCCGAGATCCCTAGGGGCAAAATCTCCACTTCTTTCCCAGCCAAAAGCCACACACTCACACATTCCTGAAAGGCACTCTCCAATGCCCCGATCACCAAGTCTTCTGCCCTGATGCCCTTTTCCTCCACAAACTGAGGGTCACTGGGGCAGATGCAGCGGCCATTGAGGTGCATGGGGGGCTGAGTGGCCACCAAGCCCTCTACCACGGCCTCCAGCTGCCGGCGCAAGCAGGAGTGCAGGGTGTTGGCAGCCAAGATGGCTGCTGCAGGACCGCCGTGCCCATCGAACAGTGCCCAGTAATGGCCTGTCAGGAACTGCACAGGAAGGGCTCAGTGTCAGCCTCTGCCTGACTTCCCCAGTTGTCCCCTGACCCACCCTGAACTAGAACATGGGGCAGCAGGGTAAGAACCTCAGCCTGCAGGTCGTGGCCCCAGCCTGTAGGAGGGATTCCAGTCAAGAACTCAGGCTGCGCTCACCTCCTCTGGGCACAGGGTCAGCCACTCTTCTTCAGCCCCAAATTCACATCTCCGGATGCACAGCTTCCCACAGGCGGCTTGATCCTCATTGAATTCAGATTTCTCTGCATTGATAATCCTGAGGCCAGGAAATGGTAAGCGACCCTCCAGGGATACACCTATGTCCCCATGGGCACAAGAGAGGACCCCTCCCTCTGGGGCAACAGCTCCCCAGTGCTGTCCCTAACACACACTTAAGACAACCACGATGTAAGCTTCCTAACTTCAGTGGCCTCATGGTTAAGGTAAAAGTCAGGGTCCAGCTCCTCTGGAGCCTACCTGGTGACCCTGGGCTAGAAGGTAAGGGTATGTTGCCATTCCTGTCCCCTGCCCTGTCGCAGCCCAAAGCCCTGTCCCATACAGCGCAGGTCATACCCAGGGTGAGATGGTGGGGGTAGGGGGCGAGGGGAAATCTCCAAAGTCCCGAATGCTGGAACTCTACCGAGTCTCTGGGCCTCATCTTGGAAGCCCCTGGGCTGCAGGTCCTTCCCGACCTCCTGTCTTCTCTGAAGGGGAGGTCGGAATCCCAAGGAAAACGCAGGGTCGGGATGATGGGGACGTTGTCAGGATTCCGAGGAGAGGGCAAGAAGGGGCTGTCCACAGGTGGGTGGGGGCTGTCACTCACTCAGCTTCTCCCGCTTTCTAGGCCGGCGCAAGACCCGAGGCGGGCTCCGGCCCGGGCCCGAGCCAGGGGTCGGGAAGGGGCACTCACTCGGCGTAGCCTGCATTCCAAGGCAGCGTGCGTCCTCGCGCGGGACTGCGCACGGGCCGGGAGTCTGGGCGGCGCGAGGCGTCGGCTGCCCCGGGGCTGGAGCTGGAGCCGCGCAGGAAGCGGGGCCGTCGGTAGGGCACGGGGCTGGCACGCGGCCCGGGCGGCCGCGGCGCGGGGAGCGGCTCCCCAGGCAGGAAGCGGCGCCGGAACCAGCCGGCGGACATGGCGCGGCGGCAGGGGGCTGCCCGCGCAGCGCGGGGCGCTAGGGCTGGGCAGCCCGCGGGAGGAGGAAGTGGGTCGGGGGCGGGGTCGGGGGGGGGTGCGCGGGGGGGGGGTGCGCGGGCGGGGGGCGGGGCCGGGGGCGCGCGGAGGGGAGGCGACGCCCCCCAGCCCCGACCTCAGCCTGGGAGCGTGTTTGCGGCTGGCCTGCTGACTCCAGGGGTCAACCCTCGCGACCGCCCGAAGAAGCCCACGCCGGCATCAGCCCCATTTGACAAGCAGGAAAACCGAGGCCCAGAGAAGCGAAGTGGCCTGCCCAGCGTCTCACAGTAGCCAGGGAGGACTGTTCACCCACGCTTGTGGGGCACTAGTGGTTGAGAGGAAAAGCCCCCCACACTTCGCGGGGCCAGCGTCGCGCAAAGCCTCAGATCTCCTCCTGCTGGGTGGGGACGTGACGCAAGGGGAAGATGGGGACAGGATGAGCTGGGAGGTGTCAGACCCGCACAATGAGTAAGTGTCTCCGAGCACAGGTTCCTTCAGGTGGCCTCGAATCCTCTCCACCCCCGCCTGCCACCCTCCACCCCAGACGGGCTTAGTGGTCACCTTGGCTTTCCCTGTCCTGAGAGGCTGCTGCCACCCTCGAGGACAGTCTTCCAAATGGCTGTCCCTGCATTCAACATGTCCTCGCAGAATAGACAGCATGATCCTTACTGGACTGTGAGTGAGTGATGGACAAGAGAAATCTGTGTGAGTGTAAAGGGCAATCAGTGGTCCCCCAAAGGCTCCTGCTGGTCCGAGTTCAGACCTGGGACGGAGGGAAGTGAAAGACGAGGAATCATCTTGCGGTCTCTCAACCACTGGCTAGCTGTCACCAGGGGGTCAGCAGCAGTGCCCTGTTCACATCTGCGAGTTAATAAAGCACTTTGTCACTCTTTTTTTTTTTTTGAGACGGAGTCTCGCCCAGGCTAGAGTGCAGTGGCCGGATCTCAGCTCACTGCAAGCTCCGCCTCCCGGGTTTACGCCATTCTCCTGCCTCAGCCTCCCGAGTAGCTGGGACTACAGGCGCCCGCCACCTCGCCCGGCTAGTTTTTTGTATTTTTTAGTGGAGACGGGGTTTCACCGGGTTAGCCAGGATGGTCTTGATCTCCCAAAGTGCTGGGATTACAGGCTTGAGCCACCGCGCCCCGCCTTTGTCACCCATTTGTCACTCAAATCCAACTCCCTGTGCAAAAGCGTAACTTTGGCCGGACGCAATGGCTCACCCCTGTAATCCCAACACTCTGGGAGGCCGAGGCGGGCGGATCATTTGAGGTCAGGAGTTCGAGACCAGCCTGGCCAACACGGTGAAACCGTCTCTACTAAAAATACAAAGATTAGTTGGGTGTGGTGGTGCGCGCCTGTAATCCCAGCTACTCAGAAGGCTGGGGCACAAGAATCGCTTGAACCCGGGAGGCAGAAGTTGCAGTGAGCCGAGATGGAGTCACTGCACTCCAGCCAGGGCGATAGAGCGAGACTCAGTCTAAAAAAAAAAAAAAAGAAAGAAAAGAAAAAAGTGTTACTTTATATGGACGATTCTGAGGCCCATGGAGGGGAAGTCTTGGACACCCAGGGGTGTGCTATTTCCATTACGACAATGCAGCTGACTCAATCCTCACCCCCAAGGCACTTCTCTTCCCCTTTCCTCCTCCAGGAAGCCAGGGCTTGCCAATTGAAAGTGGCTAAGGCTCCACAGCCCAGTGCCCCCATATGAGCTGTATGAGGAGTCTACCTTCACCTCCACTCCCTAGCCCAGGCAGACGCTCAGTAGGCCCCACTTCCTCCCAGCAGCTAGCCCTGCCCCAGTGGGAGTTCCTCGGGCCGAAGAAGGAAGGTTCTTAGGGCAGAGAGCTATGCCCAACACCCACTCCCTCCGATGACTCAGTTCCAGAGCAGGCTGGGGGCTGATTGACTGAACCCACAGTGTGTGCTGGGCCCACACTGGGCACAGGAACACAGTACTAATGGAGACAAGTCAGGCCTCTGCCCACCAAGCCCCCTGCAGTGATGGTAGCAGTTCTGGTGGATGCTGCTTCATCCAGCTGGCAAGGGGATAGGGGCCACCTCAGAGAAAGTTTCCCAAAGGACCTCTGAGCTGAGAACTGTCACTGTGACAGAACAGAAATGTACCAGGGTGGGGCAGGCCCAATTCAGTCTATGGGGCCACTTTCTTACCCTCACCAGTTGATGCCTCAGAGGATTTTAAAGTCTAAAATTGGACAAAACAAAGCGCATACACTCTATTCCCCAACCCACCCCTGGGTGGGGGAAAGCGTTGTCCTAAAGTATTTTCACAGAAGCTCTGGGCAACCAGATGTCATAGGCGGTCTGTTGCACAGCTTAGCCATTTTCTATTTTCAGAGCCATGTGGAACCACATGGCAATCCCATCCTCTCTGTTCCAAGGTGGCCTGAGTGTTCCTTCAGTGCTACCAGGCTCTTCTGACTTCCAGGGCTCCTGAGCGCCTCACTCTTGCCTGGATCTTAAGCCAGTGTCTCCTGGTTTACTCCCTCATTTTGCTGAAGTGCATCCTTCAACAACTTTCCAAGAAAGGGTGACTGGGAGGTACTTTCCTGAGAGAGATTATTTATCTATCTTTTTCTGTGAATGGTCTGTTTGTATCCTTTGACAAACTTTCTACTGGGCCATTCGTCTTTTTCTGTTTTTTCTTTTTTTTTTTTTTTTTTTGATACGGAGTTTCGCTCCTGTTGTCCAGGCTGGAGTGCAATGGCATGATCTTGGCTCCCCGCAACCTCCACCTCCCAGATTCAAGCAATTCTCCTGCCTCAGCCTCCTGAGTAGCTGGGATTACAGGCATGTGCCACCACACCCGGCTGCCACTGGTCTTTTTCTTATTGGCTTATGAGAGTTATTTATATATTAGAGAAATCAGCTCTTTATTTTGAAATGAGTTACAAGTATGCTGTTTGTAACAAGTTACAGTTTGTTATTTGTGTTTTGGCTGTGATGGTGGCTTTTTCCATATAGACTTCATTTTTAATGCAAATGGTTATTGATCTTTTCATAAATGAAAATAAAAATGTCAGGAACCCCAAATTTGTTATGCTAAAGGGAGAGTTAAGCTTGGAGACTGAGTCACACACACTGGCATTCCTTTTTTTTTTTTTTTTTTTTGAGATGGAGTCTTTCTCTTCTGTCGCCCAGGCTGGAGTGCAGTGGCATGATCTCAGCTCACTGCAACCTCTGCCTCCCGGGTTCAAGCAATTCTCCTGCCTCAGCCTCCCCAGTAGCTGGGATTACTGGCACCCGCCACCATGCCCGGCTAATTTTTGTATTTTTAGTAGAGACAGGGTTTCGCCATATTGGTCAGGCTGGTCTCGAACTCCTGACCTCAGGTGATCCACCCGCCTCAGCCTCCCAAAGTGCTGTGATTACAGGCATGCTAGGATTACAGGTGTGAGCCACCACACCCGGCCTCTTTTTAAATTTTTTTAAAAATTTTATTCCGGCAACACTTCATTCTATGCTGTAGAACTAATGTTCTCCAAAACTGTCATTCTTTTCCCAAATGGATACCTGTTACCTTGCAACCTTGTGTCAAAATATTATGCATTAACCAGATCTCCATAAAAAGGCACAAAGCCTCACGCATCTCCAGGTGACTGCACTCACAAATTGCTCATCAGTAAATTCTTTGCCAGTCCCTAAAACTTTCAAGATGTATATCCTCCTATAAAACAAGCACATGTCAATTGCAACTTTAGGTCTGCAACCTAAACCTAACTCCTAAAACCAAAGTCTGTTAAATTTCACACTGACAATGTCAATTACAAGTTTATCTGCCCAGGTGCAGAACAAGGATAGGATGAGATCAATCATTCCTCCACCTACCCTGAGACCTCTGCATAATTGGCTCTTCTGTTACTCCCTGTTCTTCCAGTGCTCAACCTATCTTCCATATAGCCTAGATTTACGGGACACTAATTAAGAGTCTCACAAAAACATAACCATTTGCCTCACTGTCTTCTCCCCTTTATTAAAGAAATGTACAAATATTGAGCCTCCTGAAAACTTCTTGGGAGAGCACAGGCCACAGACGTTTCTGTGACTTGTGTTGCTTTCCTGGGCACGCTCAAACTCTGGCTCAATAAACCTCGACTGATTGAAGCTCTTGCCTCAGTCTCTTATTTGGTTAAGATTTTCTTTTTTTGTTTTTTTCTATAGACTAATTTTGGATGTGAAAGATTTTCTTTGATGGTTTCTGTGTTTGGTGACACAGAAGTTTCCTCCACTCCAAGATTCTACAAACTGCTCCCTTTGTTTCTTCAGTATTTTTAAATTATTTTAGAGAGGGTCTCACTCTGTCACCCAAACTGGAATGCAGTGGTGTGATCAAGGCTCACTGCAGCCCTGACCTCCTGGGCTCAGGTGATCCTCCGGCCTTAGCCTCCCCAAGTAGCTGGGACTACAAACGTGTGACTGTGCCTGGCTAATACATATCTATCTTTTAATCTATCTGTCTATAGATACGTATATGTACAGATGGGGTCTTGCCATGTTGACCAGGCTGGTCTTGAATTCCTGGCCTCCAGCAGTCCTCCTGCCTTAGCCGAGTATCTGGGACTGCAGATGTACATCACCATGCCTGGCTAATTTAAAAATAATTTTTTTTGGTAGAGATGGAGTCTCACCATATTGTTGTCCAGGCTGGTCTCAAACTCCTAGGCCCAAGAGATCCTCCCACCCTGGCCTCCCAAAGTGTTGGGATTACAGGCATGAGCCACTGCACCTGGCCCCCAACTTCTCGAATAAAGGAAACTATGATTCTTGGGCACACTCACTACCATGTGACATTGATCAAATCACTTCACCTCTCCAAACCTCAGAGTCTTTATCTCTAAGACGGAAACAGTAACACCTACCTCAGGGGCTGTCATGAGGATTAAATAAATGTGCCCAGCAGGTAGTAAGTGTACAAAACAAAGCCTCTAATGGTTCATTAATACATTTACTTATTTTGCAATTATTGGCCACCTGCCAATGCTGGGCACTGTTCTAGGCACAGGGGATACAGCAAGGGCAAACACCTAACACTGGTGGAGGGAAGACAATAAACAAATACGTAAAGGTATGTGCCAGGTAGTGATAAAAGCAAAGAATGACCCATGGAGAGGGTCAGCTGGGTAGACCACACAGTACCCTACCTTGTCACAGTTTATCCAGTGAGGGACACTTTTACAGGGCACATGACCTTAATCTTTTTCATTAATCTTGGTTAATTCGTTTCCAGGAGGTCAAGTCTCTTGTGGTTCTGTGGAATCACCAACTGCTCCTGTGGATGTGGCTTGGTCTGAGCTGATGTAACAAGTAGCTCTGTGTTGCTGGCACTATTTGGCTGGAGCAGGGTTCAGTGTGGGAGGCCTTGCCTGTGAACTGTTCCAGATGGCAAGCTGCAGGGTTGCATAGCACTCCATTTTCCACTGTGAGTGCTTGAGGGGACAGTGATTAGCTGATGACACAGGCCCAGTCCTCAGGGTGAGCACAGGAAGATGAATAAGAAAACCCTTCAATTCTGTGTATGCTGGGTTCTCTGGGGATGAGAAACTCAGGGGTTGGGGGGCACAGAGGAGGCCTCAATGCAGGCTAGTGAGCGTGGGGAGCAAGATAGTAAACGGAGCTGAAGCTGGGGCCAGATGCCAGGTAGGCCACACACTTCATCATCACATCTCTTAGCAATCCCAGCCCAAAAAGCTGGCCTCCTTTCCAATCTTCCCAGCCAAAGTCCCTGGACAAGCTGATTGGACCAACCAGAGTCAGATGCTCATCCCTGACTCATCACAGTGGCCTGGAAGATGCCACATGTTGACTGGATGGTAGCAGCAGGCAGGTACTGGTATCAGTAAGGCAAGGCTGCTGGATATAGACACAGGTCATTAGGACATGGAAAGTTCCTCAGATTCACCAGGCTCTGGCCCTCTTTCAACCTCTGGGCCTTTGCACATGCAGTGCTCTCTTCTCAGAAAGCCTTTCTGGCTGGGACTAGCGGCTCACACCTGTAATCCCAGCACTTTAGGAGGCCATAGGCAGGAGGATTGGTTGAGCCCAGGAGCTCCAGAGCAGCCTGGACCACATAGGGTGACCCTCTTTTTTAATAATAATAATAATAATAAATATATATATATATATATATATTTTTTTTTTTTTTTTTAAAGAAAACCTTTCCACCGGGCGCGGTGGCTCACACCTGTAATCCCAACCCTTTGGGAGGCCGAGGCGGGCAGATCACCTGTAGTCAGGAGTTCGAGATCGGCCTGACCAACATGGAGAAACCCCGTCTCTACTAAAACTACAAAATTAGCCAGGCATGGAGGCGCATGCCTGTAATCCTAGCCACTCGGGAGGCTGAGGCAGGAGAATCTCTTGAACCCGGGAGGCGGAGGTTGCAGTGAGCCGAGATCGCGCCATTGCACCCCAGCCTGGGCAACAAGAGCAAAACTCCGTCTCAGAAAAAAAGAAAGAAAGAAAACTTTTCCCTCCACTCTGCTGGGCTGTTTCATTCTCCCCTCTAGGTTTCCAATCTTCGCCTTCTCCTGGCAGCCCCTCACATTGTCTCGACGGGCTCTTACCACCATCTAGCGGGTGAGGCGGGCCTGGGCTCTCCACCGTGAGGGCAAAGCCTAGCGGCCATGACCACACCGAGGTACCCAGGACCCCACGGGAGGCGCTCAAGAAACGGCCCCTGGGGAAGAGCTGGCACACGCACGCATGTGCGCACGCCCATCCACAAGCAGACCCCTTCCTGGGTGCAAACCCGGGTACGCTGCGACCCCCTCCTATTCGGAAACCCACCTGGCTTGGGGGGGCACAGGTCGGGCGCGCGCGCACGATCCGCCCCACCCACAGACCACCGTGATCAGGACGCACACACACGCGCGTCCTCCCACGCACGCTCCGTCACACGCAGGCCCCCTCTCCTGCCACAGAGGAACGCGCTGGCGTGCGCACGGCGGATCAATCAGCCTTAGACCCACCCGGACCGACGCGCAGGCTGCGCGCACGCGCGGCTCCGAGTCCCCGCCTCCCGGCCGCGCCTGTCGGGGGCGGGGCGCCGCTGGGGGCGGGTCCTGCGGCACCGCCCGGGAAGCTGCGCGAGGCTCGACAGCCTCCGCCACATCCTTCTCCTGTCTTGGTCCAGCGAGCGGAGGCGGGCCAGGGTCAAGTGGAGGGCTCCGACGGCGCGGACGGAGCGAAGCGCCGAGCCATGGCGCACCAGACGGGCATCCACGGTGAGGGCGGATGGCGGGCGGGCAGGGGGCCTGGGTCTCGGCTCTCGGAAGCGCCCCCTCCCCGGCTCTCGGCCCCTCCCTCCACCCCGCACCAGCCGGGAGAAGCTTCCTGTTCTCTTTTGCAGCCGTGGATCGCCTAGGGTGGGCACATCTGGGGGAGTACGGACGTGGTGTGCATAGCTGGGAGTGGGTGTACATGTACGTACACAGCTGGGGTGGAAGTATCTGTGTGCCTACCTGGAGATGAATGTGGCTGTGTGTGCCCATCTGTATATTTTTGTTCCTTTCCTGTAGTGGGTGTACACGCATGTGTACCCGTCTTCCGTGTACAGTCCTACGTGTGCACCTCTCGATGTGACTCCCTTGTGCACATCTAAGGGTCATTCATGCACTGGCACTTGTGGCTGAATGGACACTGTAGGTCCCATAGGACCCTCTTTAGACATCAGTGTTTCATGGCAGTGTGCACATGTATGTGGGTGTCTGTGTGTGTGCATAGTTGGAGCGCATCTCAGTGTGCATTTGTTGCCAAGGATGCATATACCGCATGTGTCTGTATCACTTGAATGGGTTTGTGTATGTGTGAGGGGACCCTGACCTTTGCTCCTCCCAGGACACTCACTCTCCCCAGGCTGGGGAAAACCCAGAACAGAGACTGCTAAGTGGGATGGAGAAAGCTGCCTATCTGACCTTGACCTCTGACCTCCCTCCCATTTTCCGTTGTGACTTTCTGAGCCTGTCTCAGTCTGGTTGGAAGATCCCAGCTCCAGACTGCAGACAGGGAAGAGGTCCAGATATGGGGTTTGTGGAGGAGAGTCCTGGCCCTAAATAATCCAGGCCAGCTCTCACCCCCGCCCCCCCCATCCCTAGGAAGCTTCACCATCCCCTAGCATCACACACCCCCTCCCCCAGGGGTCCCAGTTTCCTTCTTGGACGGGCTGTGAGAGAAGCAATGGCCAGGAGCCAGGTGCCCTGACTCTACCTGGGGCTCAGTGTCCTCATCTGTCACTGACCTGGGAGGGCTGCCTGGCCTGTGGGGAAGGCCCAGGCTGTTTGCCCAGACAGCCTGGCTGGTTTGGCCATCAGCCACCCCTCCCACCGCACTAGGATCACCTGCTTGGGGCTGCCACCATCGACCTGCCTGACCACCTGAATCCTGGTGCGGTTGTGGCCACTTGGTGGCTGGGCTGCCCTGAAAAGGTTTCCCTGGCCCTGCGAAGGCAGGGGCCTGGGTCAGGGCCAGGCCTCCCAGATGGGCCAGCCTTTCTCCAGGAGGAGCTGGCAGGCGGGCTTCATGACTCAGCCCCACAGGAGGGAACTGCCTCGTGGCCAGCTTCTTCCTTCCCCTTTGTCTGGTCATAGCTGCTGCCTCCCGGCCTCCAGCCCTGGTGGAGGAGATCCCAGGAAGTTAGCCACCCCATACCCCTTCCCTGCTGCCTCACTCCCTCATTACCCATAGTGAGACAGGCCCACTGAGGGGGTCACTGGGGACCGGGCTGCCCCCAGTCCTCCTTCCACCTGTGAGCAGCCCACTCCTTCCCATTTCTGGCTGGGGGAGTTGGCAGGAGAGATCACCCTGGAGGACCAAGTGCCAGCCCTGTCCTGACCATAGGTGTGGATCTGCTGACCTCAGAGCAGGGCAGGAAAGGGACCTGTAACGTGAGGCTCACTGGAGTCGGAGGGAGGGTGTTCATGAATCATTGATAATAGAGGCTCAGGTGTCCCAGGCCTGGTCTCTGGATTATTGATGGCGGCTGGGCAGGCATTGGGGCTGGGGTGGGCAGGGAGGTGTGCCTTCCCCTGCTGGGGTGTCTGTTTGCCCTGGTAACACTAGAAGGGGCCCGTCGGCCTGTCCTTTGGGGGAGCTTCTTGGTCTCCCTTCCGGGAAGGTCTGGGCAGATAGAAGAGGCAGCTCAGCACAGTCAGCTTGCTGTTGTTATCGTAATAAAAGATTAATTGTTATTAGTAGAGGCCACCATTGCCAAGCCCTTTCTCCCATTTATTCCTCACCATAGCCCTGCCAGGTTTGGGGCTATTATCTCCATTTTATACACTGAAGTTCAGAGAGGTCAGGGGTCACCCAGCTAAGGGAGAGGTGGAGCCCCAGAGGCCAGGCTTAGGGCCTCAGGGACCTGCTTGGGATCTGCCAATGGAAAGTTCTGTCCTGGCCCAGTGGGACGGTGTCCACCTGCCTACAGTTCCATGCCATGTTTCTCTGAGCCCTAAGGGTCTGCTGAGCTCAGCTGGGCCCCAGCCCACCCAGTGGCCTTGGAGGGTGGTGCATAGCCTGAGGTCTCAGATTAACGGTCACTCTGCAAGGGGGGCACCTGAGGACATGACCAGAGTTTGTTTTCCTAAGGGCCCCCCCGCCCCTGAGTTGCCCAGTCCTGGCCCTATAAATATTCTCTGACCTCAGGCCTCCAGCTGTGTTCCTGATGGAATTCCCCTGACCCCTGGGCACCCTCAAGGTCACTCTGGCCAAGCCCTGCTCACCCAGGGACCCAAGCAGGGACCTTCCCCGCATGGTCCGTGGTGGTTTCCCTGTCCACTAGTAGATCCACCACTTATGGCTCCCTGGCTCTCACCATGGTCCTCATCTCTGCCCTGGGGTCCTTGGTCACTCACTGGCTCTTACCTTCCAGCTCTACAGCCCAGTGGCCAAGATGGAGTCTCTCTCTCTTTTTTTTTTTCTGAGGTGGAGTTTCACTCTTGTTGCCCAGGCTGGAGTGCCATGGTGTGATCTCAGCTCACTATAACCTCTGCCTCCCGGGTTCAAGCGATTCTCCTGCCTCAGCCTCCCAAGTAGCTGGGATTACAGGCGCAAGCCACCATGTGCGGCTAATTTTTTGTATTTTTAGTAGAGGCGGGGTTTCACCATGCTGGCCAGGCTGGTCTTGAACTCCTGACTTCAGGTGATCTGCCCACCTTGGCCTTCCAAATTGCTGAGATTACAGGCACGAGCCACCGCACCTGACCAAGATGGAGTCTCTTAGTGAGTTTCCGGGGTCCACTCCTCCTGGAAGCTGCCCCAACTGCCTGAGGGTTAAAGGCGTCTTGTCGCCCCACCCCCCACAGGGCTGTGTCTGGGCTGGCTGTGGTTCTTCAGGGTCTCAGGGTTAGACAGTCTGGCTTGAGGGCTGGGACTGGGGCTGCATACATGGGTGTCATGTGTGTCCATGTGCTTCTGTGTACACTTTGATACATCCAGTTGCCTGCACACACGTCTCAGCCAAGCTCTGCACTTGCCTGCCTGTGTGCGTGTTAGCAAGCTGGGGACTATATCTCTTTGTGTGTTTGCGTATCTAAATGTGTGTGTCCATTTGTGTTTAAGCAACTGAGCGTGTGTTCATGTATGAGGGTGTTTGAATTTCTGCTCCTCTGTCACACATCCATGTCATGTGTTACATTCACACATGCTGGATTGAACTCTGTGTGTGTGTGTGTGTGTGTGTGTGTGTGTGTGTGAATGGACATAGTGGTCATTACACAGTGGGGGCATTTGTCTGTGTTCCTTTGTCTGTGTATATGACCATGCTGAGTGTGTCCAGGCCAGCCCAGAGCTCAGCCATCCTGGGGGGCAGGGGGCAGATGGAGGCTATTCACTGTGGCTGGCCTGGCTTATGCCAGAGCCTGCCCATCTTCTGATGAGCTGTCCCATCCCTGCCCACCCCGCCCCATCACCAGACCTATCCCAGCCAGCAGGCCACTCGCCTGCCACCTCTGCTGGCTAAATTTGGGAGCTTGTGTTTAGTGGCTGTCTCAGGTTCCCAGTCACATGGGGGGCTGTATTTAACCTGGTTCCCAGCTCAGCCACCAGACCCTGTGGGACAGAGCAGGCCCCATACTCGTCTCTGTCCACTCTGCCCACTCATCCCCCACCATGTTTCTTGTTCTTATAGCCACGGAAGAGCTGAAGGAATTCTTTGCCAAGGCACGGGCTGGCTCTGTGCGGCTCATCAAGGTTGTGATTGAGGACGGTGAGTGCCCCTCACAGGCCAGGGCATAGGCTTGGGGGTGGACTCTGCTGCCTCTGTGGGTGGGGGAAGGTAGATGTTGGCCCCTGGCCTGCTGGGGACAATTTCCCCCTCTGGAAATGAGTGTGAGGAAATCCTGACAAAGGAGAGCCTCACAGGGCAGCATCAGAGGTGAGTGCGATTGTCACCTCTGTTATGCAGAGCGGGAAGCCAAAGCTGGGGTCAGCAAACAGAGCCCTGTCCTGGGGTCCTGCCACCTCCCAGAGACTGCATGGGTATTTACATGGGCCTGGTCAGAATGCCGAGCTGGGCTGGGCAGAGGGGCAGGGGATAAGTGAATCCAGCACCACCCCTATCTGTGGCCTGGCCTGGCTCAGCTGCTGGCCGAGGGGAGCTCTAAGGAGATCCTGCACCCTTCTCTTGGAAGTGCTCCCATGATGGGGAGAAGGGACGAGTGTCTGGCTCATCTGAGAGCAGGATGAGAGGGTTCTAGGCTTGGCTGGGTCTTGGCCTGGCCCCTGAGAATCTGGGAGCTGTATAGAGGGCAGTGCTGGGGGCGCTGGGACTTGAGCTGAGGCCTGAAGTGGGGAGGGTTTGGGGAGGCAGAGGATTAAACTGAGGAGGATTGGGAGGTCAGAGGACAGAGAACATTTTTTCCCCTTTCCTCCTTGCCAAGGGACTGCCCCTTTGGGTGAGGGGTACAGACTTTGGGACTGGTGTGGGCCAGGCTCCCCAGAGGTCCTCCCAGCTCTCCTCAGTAGCCATTCAACAGCGAGTACTTTGG